CCTGCCACTGTTTCATTTTATGGCCATCTGATGAACATCTTAAGCGTCCACTAGCTTTTGAATGTGCTGCAAGTGAGTGCGATGGCCTCAATTGCGGTATGGTCGTTAGTACGACTACACGAAATTACAGTGTGATAACCTAGCATGCTGTGGAGGGATCTGCCGACGGCTGTGCAAATGCACAGGCAGAGCCTTAGGTCCACCACTCGGTGAAGTCAGGTGGATTGGGATTTGGGTGTACTATGCCTAGCGTACACAATTTAAGGAAGAATATGCCGGTAGCCCACACTAGGATCAACACGATGATCTTAGATAAGCTGGAGAGTCGATTGTTGAGAACCTAGCTGTGGTAGAGCAACCACAGCTAGAAGACGTCGAGGGAATAAGTCCTCAAGACTTCAGGAAGAAGATCCTCGAGCAGCTATAGATGAGGTAACAAGACATCATTAACATGAGGGAATAATTCCTCATCAGCTTGTGGAAAGGGTTCTTAGGAAGAAACCGAGAAATTGAATTTGTGGTTAGCATATAATTAAGTGTAGACGCTGATAGACTTGATCTGATTGCGCCTCCTATTCCGACTTCGGATATAAGTCAGATCCCAACCTTGGAACCGAAACGGCTCTTACGTGATTTGCGCAGTGGCGAAGTCAAGCACATTCGTGTACTTCTTACAACCTACGAGCATAAGACTAAAATTGAATTGGCAGTTGCATTAGCCGAGAACGAACGGGCTCTCAGTAGCTCATCGATGGAAGAAAGTGTCCTCGATGAGGAAACTCGGATTGAGCGGTACACGTATCAATCTTGGGAACAGCTTCAGTCAGATCCTTTACGCAAGAATTTAATTGAAATCTAAGGACGTGTTTCTATATCCGTGCCATGAGAGTTTCCTTAGTACAAAAGCAAAGACACGAGATCGAGATCGAACCGGGCTCGAAGTACTGTGTCATGAAGTAGTGGCCACTGCCTCGTGAAAAAGCACTAGAAATATACAAGTTATCTGCCAATAGCTTTGCAGCAGGCCACGTAAGAAAATCAACTTTTCCTTCCACATCTCCGAACTACTGTGTGCAAAAGGACACAGGGGGGTGGCGGATAGTGCGCGCGTTCAACAAGCTGAAGGTTGCAACGGTAGGGTATCAGACACCGATACCGATGAAGGACGTGATCATCTATGGTACTGCAAAAAGTACCATCTTCTCGTCCATGCATATGATAAATACCTCCTATCAGATCCTCATGCGTGAACATTACATCCCGTACACAGCAGTGACCAATTCCAGATGTTTGCTGTGGGAGTGGCTAGTGATACTACAGGGGCTGAGTAACGCTCCTTCAATGCTAAACAGATGCGTAACCAATCTGTTAAGACTGGTGCAGGATTCGCTCCGAGATACTTTGACGATGCATTCGTCCATAGCCGGGATATGGATGGGAAGACGGACGTAGAGGTTCACAGAACACTCGTTCTTCGGGTTCATCAACTTATGCGGAAGCAAAAGTTGTATGCCAACCTCAAGAAGTATATATTCAAGGATAGAGAAATGCAACTTCTTGGATGCAGCGTGGGTAAACACGTCGTACGCCCTAATCCAGAAAAAATCGGGGCGATTAGCGACTGGCCTGTGCCAGTCGACGTCAAAGGGCTGATGAATTTTCCTGGGCTAGCGGTGTACTTGTAAATGTACTCGCGCTATTACACCAAGATGCATGTGCACCTTATTGTTTACCAAAGATAAATGTGGAGTGGCTGTGGATAGCTGAGTGTCCGCACCTATTTGAAGGTATCGTGCAAAGCAGGACGCAATCGACCATCTTGGCGATTGCCGATCAGAACAGATCATTTCACGTGGTCTGTGACGCCAGCGATTTCCAAATCGGCTATGCGTGTATGCAGTACGATGTAGACGGCGCAGAGCGCGTCGTCTGCTATCAGTCGCGTCAGCTATAAGCAGCTGAGCGTCATTTATCCGTGTATGAAAAGAATATACTTGCCAGGAAACATGTATTGGCAAACTTTCGCGTCTAAATCCTGATAAACAGACTGTTTATTGTCTGTGCGGACCATGCGTCATTACGAACGGCCGAAAACAGTCCTTACCTCTTGCAAAGGATGACGAGGTGGCTGTCCTTCTTTGCGGAGTTCAAATTCTCCGTGGGATACAAAAAAACGGATGAATTTACGTCGTCAAGGACGCATTCTCGCACCAAACTGACTCAAAGGCGGCAACGCAGTCCAACAGTGGGGTTAAAACCACTGTTGCAACACTAGTCACTAGCGTTATGTCGTCAACATTGCTCGACGACATCGGAAAGACTTACGCAGAAAATAAGGCTCTTCTGCGACTAATCTATCATCTGGTGACCCCATCTCGTAAATATCTCAAAGATGTACCGTCCTTGTGTCGACCTTCCGCGGATCATTACAATACATGCAACAGGTTGCTGTACGATACAGCCGTTTCCGGCGAAACACGTAATGGCTATACCCAATCATTAATTTACGATTGCGCATCGTTTTTAGTGTCACGATGCACCATCTAGTAGTAATCGAGGACGTAAGAAGGCTATTCTCACGGTAAGTCGCCACTTTTGCTGGGGCCGCTATTATTATTTTTGAGCATGTACATTCGTGCTTGCGAGATTTGTTAGCGGGTGAAGCCCGTTCCTTCATCTCGTGCGCCAATACAGCCTCTACCAGTCCCGGCAGAGTGCTGGCAGTCCGTTTCAACGCAATTCGTCGTTGGTTTTCCCCGAAGAAGCTAACAAAATATTGTCTTCTTGTTCGTTCTTTTACGTTGGTTGTCTCCTCTTGTTATGTCAGTACGAACCCTCTTTCGGCGATGAAGAGAGCCTCTAAGCATAAAAAATACCAGATCCTTGCGCTTGCCATACGAGTAATTAATAGAATAGCGTGTTAAAAAACTCTTCATTCAACCGAGAGCTCTTTTGTCGAGCTGTCGCCAGCTCGTCAACAAGGGAACGGACATCACGCTCAACCTGAAGCTTTGCAAGAGCGTAATAAGCACATTACTTTGCACGATGGGCCTCAAGATCCTTGCAATTGTTCCGCACAGGATCTACCAGAGCGGAGCGTGTGTCCCATTTGTGCTCCAAATCCTCGCGCAATTTAACGATTGCGCGATATATCTCGTGTGGGTCGAGATGGTGAGTCGAAATAATTGCAGTAATCGTCTCATCCTCCACATCTTTGGTGGACTCAAAGTGGTCAACGCTTCCTAGTGGGTCATATCTTGTACCACCGTGAAGATTTGGGATCAAGGACAATCTGAATAGTCCAAGGGCGGGGGCATCCACCCTCGTGCAACCGCTGGGAGTCCCTCTTCCAGCTGAAGATGGATGTGCCCGGTCTCGTTGAGCAGCACGACGATACGCACCCATCAATGATAGAGGGCCATCGTCGAAAGAGCGCCGGGCGTGTTCGTTAAGAAAGTGCAATGTACATTCGATTTTTACATCTTGGATGAGAGGCACACCCTCCAGTAGGACTGACTAGGGAGTTAGGCCTCCCTAGAGGCGTGAATAGAGGTCAAAACAGCTATAAAATGTCTCATTCCACGAGAAGATAAGTAAATTTGCCTTTCGAGATAATCGGTGCAATTAAAAGCGAGCACTGGTTGGTAATTTCTTATCAGCCTAGTGCGAGTTGCAACAGGTATGTCCAGCCAAGCCTCGCGGCCAGCATTTTAGATGTTGCCGATAAAAGAGTGCCACACCTGCGTCTACTAATCTCGTCTTGGTCGCGATTGCCGTGGTACCATCGATGTCTGAAGAAAGAATCGATGTATACTCATGTTCAGTGCGATAGTCTTTAGCACTGACGCCAAGGCCATGGAGTCTTGACGAATTTGAGAGTGGGACTAAAACAAAACTCGTGGTACAACTATTCTACGTTCTCAGGTTGCGTACGGATGGCAACTATGTTTTTTGACCTCAGGTGCAAGTCGTAACACGTTTCAATCCTGTTCCTCTTGCGAAGTGCCGACAGAAATACAGGCACCACGATCTTAGCGATAGCTGGTATTGTTACGGATGCGAAGGATCCACTAAGAGTCAACGACATCATCCCGACAAATGATTTCCCCAGGCTTGGCATTCGCATCATAAGAATGTGACTGTGATCGGTTTAATCTCAGTGACGAGTTATCAGACTATTCGGATGAGCCTAGTTTTTCACGACGCAATTCGAGATTGCCACGAGATGCAGCAGTCGTCGTGTCCGCACACACAGCTTTATAGACGAAATTTGCGGAGGACTTCGACTTAGACGAAGAATCCGACTCGCCTGATTGGAGAATCTCTCATTTGAAGCAACGTTAACTGGATAACCACCAGCAGCTGAATTTGCGGATAAAGAAGCTGCACGTGAATGACCACGTGCACCTGCAACAGAGGGTGTTGCAGGATCTTTCAGCAGCAGCAGGCGATGCATGCAACGGGGCACCCTTTGTTTGGGGTGCAGCGAAACTTCACGTACACTAGTACGTGCAGAGGAAGCTAGTCTATCAAACAGCTAGTCTGAGTAAAAGATAAAAAGAAAACTGTATTTTACATAGTTAAGTCATCAACATAACTCCAATCTTTATCTAACTATATTAAACTACGTCGTCGTATGACGACAACCTGCTCACCACTCATTACGCGCGTCTAGCAGCGATTGGTGGTAATCTTGGTTGATGCGTCTTAATCAACCGATCTTTGAGCAGCGCATGAATATTATCCTAAAAGAGGATAATGATTCTTCAATATTATCCATCTCGGATAATACTGGCAGGAAATTGTCACGCTAGACAATCTTCCTATTGACACCATTTGGTGTCAATATCATGTAACGGGCTACCCCGTTACATCACCCCCCCCATAATAATCAATCACCCGTTGATTGAATTAGAATTGGACCAAAGTGACCACCGTTGGATCACTCTGGGAAAGGGAGCATTTGTTGGTCAAATTCCATTCATTTGCCAATGCAACACATGGTTTCAAAAACCAAGCGAGTTGCTACTGCAGCAGCAAGAAAGGCGGCTGCACGCATGCGTGCGACCGCGGAAAGTGCCTCTCACGCCTCAGCAGCAGGTGATTCGTCGCCTGTTGTTCTGATTCCTCCACGTGGTGAGTCACTACGTGCGACAGGTACATCCGCTGCTTCTGCAGCGGGTACCACGAGTCGTAATCAAGACGAGTCTGAGATAGAGCTCATCTATTCTGGCGAGTCGGATGATGTATCCGACTCGAAGGCGACACCTCACGCCTCGGGATCACCCGAGGCGGACACTGCAAGAGCCAGGCTGACTGGCTCTGGTCAGCGCGGCAGCATCATGACCAAGATCTTTGGATCGAGCGATTATTCCGACGGATCTCAGCCTCACGCAAGTCCATCCAACGATAGGACGCGTGCGGATGGTGGTGATGCACCTATACATCCTTGCGAGCAACGTAACTTTAGGGATCGGGGTGTCACTGGTGTCAGCGCTCACGCTGGCACCAATCAAGAGGCCAGGGACCGAAACATCTTGCGCCACGCTCCTCAAGTAGAGGTTTCGTGGATGCCGTCATCCAGAGAGTTGGACCGGTTGGCCGACATGAATACCGAACGCGATCGAATCCCGTTGTTCGATTGCAAAACGATTTGCCCACCTAATTCCAGCACGGAAACTATCCGTGCTGAGGAAGAGTTCTTCACCGATGCGTTCTTCAAACATCGGTGGTACAATGGTAGCCGTGTCCGAGACGGCAGAGCCTTGGTGCAGGGATGGAATGCCCTCATCCATAACATCGAATGCATTGGCCGTGAGGACAGGCTCGCCAAACTTGATGCAGCTCGCATCAGGTATGAGAAACGCAACCCCGTCGGGGCGCAATTCAAGTTGCACCGTCTTTCAAGAGAGGCAAAATTACCCTGTCTCTCGTGGGGTGATTCGCGTCCAGGTTGCCTGGACAATTTGAACCGTGCCCCTAGGGAGGCTTACCTCCTCAATGATCCCTACTGGAGGGCGCGCATCTCTTCCGAGATGGCCAAAGGCATCGACACTTTGCAATCACTGTACTCGCGTTCGGAGAGGTCGTTTTCCGACGGACCTTCTTCAAACGCAGCGGGTGGGTCTCTTCATATTGCTCGACGAGACCAAGGACATCAACAATCAGCTGGGCACGAGGCTCCCAGATGTCCCACGCCGGTGGATAGCCATGCCAGCGGACGAGGTAACTCGTCCGGACGCCATTCACATCGCGGTGGTTCAAAGGAAGCGTTGATCACCGCTTGAGTCCACCGAAGTATGTGGTGGCGGTGGGAGAACCTGATCCGGCTCGAGGGTCGGATCAGCTTGATATTCGAGAGCTGAACCGTGTAACGGATCAGTTGCAAGATGAATCGGCTCATGAACGATCTCGGCGTTATGGGCTTGAGGATCTTGTGAGGGATAGTTATAATTCCCTAATGCACGATCATTCGGACGATCGTGCCGCTTTTGCGCTCGCGCAACTTGAGAACGAATGTTCGACTCGTTCTCTTCGTGACGAGCTAAATGCAGCTCGTCGAGACATCGCTCAACTGCGTGAACAGGTCGCTTCGCTAGTCGACCAGAATGGCTCGTTGAAACGGGATCACTCGAAGATGGTCTTGGCCCCTTACCGCGAAGGTGTTCTTCGCATTTCAAACGGGCTCGTAATGATAGTACGGGCGAAGACGACCAACGTAAAACGTAGGATGCGTACGCATCTTACAAGGCAGTTCAATCGTGTAATGCGCTGCCCATTCGGCGCAACACACGAAGTGGACCAATGTACCTGGACAGTAATTTACTGCTGCCCACTTTTGTCGCTGCGCATTTCGGTAGGTTTACTGTAGACCGTAAAACTAGGTCTCCGTCATCAAATGAATAAACATTTGCTCTTCCATGTTTGTCTGCGTTTCTCTTCTGTCTGTTTGGTGCATCTGCAATAGAGTCTTGAGCAAAGCGGACAACCACTTCGCAAGTCAGCAGAAATTCCTCTGCTGATTCATCCTTGTCAACAGCAGTGCGCTTTGTGTGCACTGCTGAAAGAACGTTGTCTTCACCAGTGAGGGTATCATCGTCCTCACCTTGGCGGTCATTGGCGATGTCGAATATGCCAGCGTCGTCGTCATCGTCATCATCGACACAGATCCCATCGACATCGGCATCTATCACGTCGACACCATTGTCGACGGGTGATGAGCAAGAACCAGATCGGTTTTTGTTCGAGCGAGTCCAATCCCCCCTTAAACTAGAGTCACACTCTAAGAAGGCGGGTGAACGTGGATGGCTTAGGCCATTCACGAAGAACGGTGTATGCGTTGTCGACGCATGCACCGAGTTGTTGATGGTGAATTCCGCCATCGGCAAGAACTCACTCCATTTCGTAAACGAGTGGACATACCCTTGAAGCATCTCTTCAAGGACGCGTTTGACGCGTTCCGTCTGACCATCTGTTTCTGGATGGTCATAAGTCGACATCGTTAAACGTGTTCCAAGTAAACACGTTTGACGATGTCAACTTCTGGAACACGGATTGCCAGAACTCCGCTGTGAAGCGGGGGTCCCTATCAGACACGAGATCACGGGGTAACTCGTGAGTCGGAAGATAGTATTGATGAAGACACGCGCAATTCCCTGGGATGTGATAGACTCCGGTACAGCAACAAGATGTACCATCTTGCTGAACCGAGCAACAAACACAAGAATACCAGTATTCATGTGAACGTCGTTGGGAAACCCGAAGACGAAGTCCACCGATACGGACTGCCAACACTCTGCCGGAATCGGACGAGGCTGTAAGGGTGCGCGGGATGAAGAACTAGGCTTCACTCGTTGACAAACTTCGCAAGGGCAAATGTATATGCGCACAAAATCATACTGGCGGGGCCAGTAGAAGTCACGACTCATCATGAGGTAATTCCTTTATCTACCTCGATGTCCACTTGTTGGGGCATCGTGACACTAATGCATGACGCACAATCGCAAATCATTATGAGCCGGAACGACGACACGAGGTGTGTCGCCGTTGACTGCTGTATTGCACAGCAGTCCATCATGGACAGAATACCGTTCGGTTGAAGAGCGGTATTGAGACGACAAGCTTTTCAAAGCTTGATTACACGGATTGGATACGTAATCCATCAACAGCAGAAGACACTCATCTTCTGTGTATGATTTTTGCACGTCATCGAGCAGTTTGGACGACGGAACACTCACTGTTAGTGTCGCTACAGTGGGATCACTCCCACTGTTGTGTTGAGCAGTCGGCTCGAAATCGGGCCGACGCGAAAGAGCATCAGCGACGATCTTAAGTCGTCCTGGTTTACACTCGACGGAGAAGTTGTACTTCGCGAAGAAAGACAGCCACCTTGCCATTCGTTGCGAGAGGTGTGGACTGTTAACGGCCGTGCGTAACGACGCATGGTCGGTATAGACGATGAAGGGACTATCTCCTAAGACATGCCGGAAACTTAGCCAGTGCATATTTCATGGCAAGGGGTTCCTTGTCATGAACCGGATAATTTTGGTCAGCTGCTTGCAGCTGACGCGATTGATAATAGACGACGCGCTCAACTCCGTCTGAGTCGAACTGCATTAACGCGCAGCCGATTGCAAAATCGCTGGCGTCACAGACCACATGAAATGGTCTTTCCTGATTTGCAATTACCAGCAGAGGCGATTGCACCAAGCTTTTCTTGATGCCTTCAAAAGAGTGCTGAAACTCAGTGCTCCATGACCACCTCTCGTTTTCCTTTAGTGGACGAGAGAGATGTACGGTCATCCCGGCATAGTTGCGCAAGTATTTGTGCAAGTAAGCCGCCAAGCCAAGGAACTTTCGAAGTCCCTTGACGTCGACTGGCACAGGCCAGTCGCTAATCGCCTTAATCTTCTCCGGATCAGGGCGTACACTGTTTTTACCCACGATGCAGCCAAGAAGTGTTATTCCGTTCGCTGCGAATATACACTTCTTGAGGTTCGCAAACAACTTGTGCCCACGCGTGAGTGTTAGAGCCTTTCGGACGTGGAGGTTCATAGAATCCACGTCCGGAAGGTTCATAGAATCCACGTCCGGAAGGTTCTTACTCTAATACGAGAGTTCATGTAATCCACGTCCGTCTTTCCATCCATAGCCCGGATATGGACGAAGACATCGTCGAAGTAACTCGGTGCAAAGTCGCGCACCGATCGCAACATATTCGTAACACATCTGTTAAACGTTGCGGGGGCGTTACTTAGCCCCTGTGGCATTACTAGCCACTCCCAGAGCATACCACTGGGGGTGCTCACTGCTTTGTAAGGGATATCCCGTTCACGCATGATGATCTGATAGAATCCATCCATCAAATCCATGGATGGAAAGATGGTACTTTTTGCCATACCATCTATGATGACATCCTTTCTTGGGATCGGCGTTTGAGCCGGTACCGTTGCAGCATTGTTGAACGCGTGCCCTATCCGCCACACTCCTGTGGCCTTTCGCACTCAGAAGGTCGGAGAGCTGTGTGGGGATGTTGATTCCCTCACATGAAAAGCCGCTAATCGATCGGCAAAGAATTTGTCGATCGCTGTTCACTGTTCACTAGACAGTGGACACTGCTTCATGACACAGTACTTCGAACCAGGTTTCAGTTCGATCTCATGCCGAGTGCCTTTGTCCTTAGGCAGCTCGCATGGCACGGATTCCGGGAAAACATTCCTGAATTCAACCAAATCCTTGCATAAAGAATTTGTCTTCAAAGAATCCCAAGATTGAAACGTGTATCGCTCAATCCGAGTCTTCTCATCGAAGACACTCTCGTCAATGGATGAGATACTGAGAACCCGTTCGTTCTCAGCAAACACTTGTGCCGACCGAATATCGGCGACGTACTCGTCCTCTGTGACGAGTACGCAGACCTGCTTGATCTTGTCACTACGCAGATCTCGCAAGAATCTTTTAGACTCTAGCTTTGGAAACTTGACCACCTCCGAAGCTGACTTCGAAGGCGTCACCAGATCAAGTGCACAAGCGCCTACACTTGATCCGTCATTCACCAAGACATTAACTGACTCGGTGATTTCCTGGAAAAACACATCCACAGGTGCTTGAGGACCCACACCCTCAAAACAACTCTCTCGGGAGTTATCACTCTTAGGAACGCTCAAACTTTCTACCGTTACGTGTACTGACTGTGGGTGTACTATTACGGTCACGTCCTCTTCGATCGACTCTCTTTCAGTCGATCGGGCTTGCTCTACGATCGACTCTCAGATAGTCTATCTCGCTTCACGTGTTGTTTATCCTGAACAATACTAATCTTTCTTCTCGGATGCACCCTTCTTATTGTGCATCCGTGTTCCAGTCCACTCTATATCTTCGAGTGGTGAACCTTTGGCGCAGCCTGTGTCTCTACACAGGTGCCGGAAGCTGGTTCCACAGTGTAGTGGCCTTTTACACTGTGATCTTGTGCAATCGTACAAACGACCGTACCACAAGTGAGGCCATCTCCCTCACTCGTAGTACATCCACACGCTTGTGGACGCTCCAAGATGTTCATCAGATGGCCATCCGATGAACAAACGGCAGACATCTTCACGGATCGATGCTGCCAGCTAACCCATGGCTGATATTTTCTAAGCCATGGCAGACCGAGGATGACATCAAATTTGTCATCCGAATCCAGTACGATGAAGTCATCATCGTACTGCTTTCCTTCTAGCGTGTAGTGGATTCCCACTACACGTTTGTCTACTGTTACGGATGCGCCTGTAGCAAGGCACACCGTCATTCTCGTTGGAGGGAACTCTTGCTCAATATAGTTGAGCCTACTATCCCCTAGCGACTGACTTCAAATCAACATGTTTGACGCCCCACAGTCAACTAGGGCGCAAAGTGACATTCCACTTATCACTTCGATATTCAAAGTGATGAGAGACTCCTCATCACTAGGAGCAGTAACAAACAGCGACTGTGTGTCGGGAGCAATCTTCGTCAAGAGTCCTGCGAATTCTCTTGACGTTGCTGGATCAGCGGGGTGCTCCGCCCGTTTTTGGCAGTCCGACTTGCTATCGAGAATTAGAGACATGATCGGATTCGCGCCTTCGACCTTTCCCCGGTCAAAAGCGGTCATCACGTCCTGTCTTTGGACGTGTTGCGGTGCTTGGGACACCACACTCATGAGCGTAGTGTCCACTCTTCTGAAAGCTATGGCATCTTGCCGTTCGCTTGTGACTCAGAGAGCGAGAGTTCTTGCTCTCGATATAACAGAGGTCCATTGGTTCGGGACCTCCTTTTTCCTGTCGTCTCGTTGGACGATAGTTTGATGAGTTAGCCTGATACTGTATCAGACTGAAGTCTTCTTGTTCCGCATACTCTATCGCCTTTTTTAGTGGAAGAAAGTCCTCTCGGAACATGTAGGCCTTCACCGGTTTATCTACAAGGCCGTAGATGAACACCTTGATGAGCGTGTGCTCATCATCAGGGTTTCCCGTGACGCCACTCGAAAGGTAGCGTAGGTGTTGTGCGTAAGCAGGCACATCACGCTCACTTTTCTTGAGCCTCAGGAGTGCAGAGCGTGCTCTAAACTCGGTTCTTGGCGGCTCAAACGCCTCTTTGAGCCGCGACTTCAAGGTCTTTGACGACTAAAACACGTTCGGATCGCGAAGATGAACCCTAAGGTCCAAGTCTTTGCTCGTCCTGTCAAATTTGACAGGGCGAAGGTGACTTGCATCTCGTCACCCTCGATGTGACGGGCCCTGATAGCGTCGTCTAACTTCACGAACCATCTTAAAAGGGAATCTTCATCGGTTCCCTTGTACCTTGAGATATCAGTCTTCAAGGTTTCGGGTCGACGCATGTGCGTCGGTCCACTCATCGACTGATGAGAGTCTTACTGTTGTAGCAAGGCTATCTTCTGTCTTTCGACGGCAAGTTCCCTTGCAGGAACTTGTTGATAGCAGCATGTTGCTGGTCTCTGCTTCGAGACTCCAACATACCACTTATGGCGGGTTCGCCCATGAGCACACTCATGCGGTCGACTACCTTCCATTCTGAGTCACTCAGATGGGAGTAGCCTCTACGTGTGACGTGAAAGCTGTTGTCTTCTACGTCCAACATATTCATGTTGGACGGACACTAAGCAGTCGTTGGGCGGATTACGAAGTGCTACCAGGCGTAACGGGGCACCCTTTGTCTGGGTGACACGAAACTTCACGTACACTAGTACGTGCAGAGGAAGCTATCTACTTGAACGACTCGTTTAAATAAAAGGTAAAAAGAGAACTGTATTTAATACGGTTAAGTTATCAATATAACTTTAATCTTTATCCAACTATTAAAACTACGTCGTCGTATGAAGACAACCTGCTCACCACTCATTACGCGCGTCTAGCAGCCATTGGTGGTAACCTTGGTTGATGTGTCTTTTATCAACCAATCTTTGAGCAGCGCATGAATATTATCCTGAAAGAGGATAATAATCCTTCAATATTATCCATCTCGGATAATATTGGTAGGATATTGTCACGCTTGACAATCTCCCTATTGACACCGTTTGGCGTCAACATCATAAAAGGGCTACCCCATTACATTTAGATTATCTTTACCTAAGTTTGTACAACTAAGATCTCTTCTGTCTAGTGGTTGACACCAGTGCGCCCCTATAACCGATTAGATATTCTATATCTCTTTCATTGGGATATCATCCGTGTGTCCAAGACACAGGGTACCAGGTACCTGACTACGTGTAAACTCGTTACAAAGAGTCTCTTAGCTATAACAAACTAATGATGACATACAGTTGTTCAAGCGTACAAGCTTAACAATCCCGGTTCCAAACGATTACGATTCACAGAATCACACACTAACTAGTCACTACCAGTTAAACAAGAGTAAACGCCCCCACAAGGCTAACACTCTTACAACACGCTACGCTTTGGCTAGCCACTGGCGTCCAACAATTCAAATGGGGAACCGAACTTTACTTATTCGTTTAGCTACGGTAATCAAACCCTAAATCCTTGTCTGATTGACTTCTACTTTGCGATCCGATGACAGAAGACTTATCCCTTATCCTTTTCCAATAAAGTGCGGTGTTACCGTAAGTACGTGGTACTAAGACTGTACCACTCAGATCCACCGATCTTCACTTGGAGTGGACACGCAACATAACCGGTTCAATAATCGCGTGTAACCCCGTTACAAAACACGTGTCTTTCTAAGACTTCTTGATCTTGCGAGTTGAGAGCCTGAATTATGGACAGTATTGTAGGCATTAGTGCCGCGTGATTTCGTGGAGTCGTTGGTCCCCTGAACCAGGACCAGAAGCTTACGAGCTTGTTATAGCACTTAAAAGTAAGTTTATTAAGTCTAAAAGCCTTGAGACCCTTTAAGTTAATACTTGCATAATTTAATACACTGATGGACTTCGCGAGTCTTTTAGTCTTCCTCTAATTTAGGAGTAAGGATAGGTCCTCTACAACGTCAGTTTGCTATCAGAATTACGACAGTTTGACGATAATATTCTCCATCGCTGAGCCCTAATGGGAGCTGTACAAAAGCAATAGGACTCACACATCGGAACCAGAATTCGCTATAGCTATGGTAAAGTCGGCGACAGTGTGCGTAGTACTACATTGGAAATCTTCAAGTTGTATAAAGTACGTGCACACACCTCCATCCGCGGTCAACTGACCCGTTTGTCATCGCAGTCAAACTAACTAACTACCAATCAAACAAACGTTTGATACCGACAAAGTCCGCCCTAATATCCGCTCATAAACCCCACTGTTTCCAACCGTACTGTCTTGTATCGGTACACGGATCCTCCCCTCGCGCATACATGACCAAAGCCAGTTCTCCACGTCCCCCCGCCGCAAGTCGCCTTCCCGCTCGTACCGCGTCTACCGGTTTTTCTTCGAGCGGCGTGTGAATCAATGGTGAAGCGCGGCCCAGGCAGTGCCGAATACCTGCCCGCGACCGCGCCGTCGCCTCCTCCAGGCGCGTCCAACGGCCCGGCCAGCGTCAGTGCCGTCTGGTCGTACTTTGAGAAGGACCAGTCAGGGAACTCGGTATGTAAGTTCTGCGACCGCGTGATCAAGGGACACCACTCGTCCAACCTCTTGTCCCATTTGCGCACCGCGGGACGGACAGACGCGACGCACCAACAAGCCAATAATGTCTGTGAAGAGCATCGAGAGACCAAGCGCCACTTCAAGCGGCAGAAGATCGGACTGCAGGCGGGTCAAGCGTGTGCCGAGTTGGTGAGCGCCGCCATGTACTCGTCGCCGGGGGCATCCCAAGCTCTGGCTGCTGCTGTGGCGGCTGCGGGCGGCTCGCCCAGCGTGCTCACAGCAGCGTTGAAAAGGGACCCAGCTGCAGCTTTTTACACGTACCCGACCCCAGCTTCGCTTGGGGCAACACTAGTCAAGGACCAGAAGGAGCCGCTGACTGCTGGCAACAGTTACTATGGCTTGATGCCGTCAGGTCAAGTGCAAGTGTCTGCTGAACAGTTGACTCAAGACTTGAGTCTCATGGCTCTCATGGACAATTTGCCGCTGAAGTTTGCCACGAAACCAGGCATGCGGTACTTTATCAACCAGTTACTAGGCGAGAAGAAGCTGGCGTTGCCAGCGGAAGATGTGCTGGCGAAGAATATCTTGGTGTTGCACGAGAGTATATGCGTGACCACGAAGGCGATGCTGGCAAAAGCTAAAAGTGTCGCTGTGTCGCTCGAGGTGTGGCGACACCCGGCGTTGACGAAGTCGACACAGTATTTGGCTGTTAAACTGCACTTCAGCGTGAACTTTCGACTGTTTGATATTGCGGTGGGTGTTGTGCCGTTCGAGGAAGTGTCTGGACTGGAGACCATTAAGAGCACACTTGATTCGTTTCTCGAGCGCCTGGGCGTCAAGGACAAGGTCATTGCCGTTGTCATTGATGAGCTCCCGTCGAAGGTCGCACTTGCGGCATCTGACCTTCCGTCGCACTTTATGCCCATAAACTTTGATGGTCATCTCGTATCGCCCGATGCAGCTCAGGGCACGCTTCTCCTTACTTCGGCGGTACAACACCTGCGTGTCTGCTTGACTTTTGACGTATTTGCTAGGGCATTCCCGCACGTGGTGAGTCAGATCGGAGACTTTGTGACTCGGCTGGCCGAGAATGAGGGGGCGATGCTTTCTTTGAACCGCAAGTGCCCGCTGTACGACGCTGAGCTTTTTGCACAAGGACACGAGGCCGTGTCGTACTATGGATACCTTCGTCAACTATTTGAGCACTTGCCTGCGCTAGAGCAGGTAGCAGACGCCAATCTAGTGACTTTTCTCCCTGCATCAACTGTGGAATCCATCGGCTTGCTGGTGAAGAAACTGCGCCCATTTTCGAGGTACTCTGAAGCTTTGGAGGGAGAAAAGAACAAGAAAACGGGCAGCGACAAGGAAGTGAACAAGAATGGCATTTCAAGCATTTCGACCATTGCTGCTGCTTTGGTGACGTATGCAGAGAAACAAGCGCATCTGGCAGTCACGGGTGTGCCTGTCCATTTGGAACCAGCTACGTGGAAGCGGTTTTTTGAAATGCTCGCGCGAAAGTTGCGCGATCAGTTCGCAACGCTTCCACCAGTCTGCTACGCAGCAACGCTTTTCGATCCTCGATACAAAAATCGTGAATACTGCTATCTGTCTCCCAAGGTTGAGTGCGGACTTGGCAAGGACTTTCTTCGTCAAACGTTTACACCTGAGGGTAATTCATTGCAGATATCGAATGCCTCAGATTCGACTGGCCTATCAGACTCGGGTGCAGACTCTTTGGCTAGGTTGGCATCGTCTTCTGACGCAGAGCTGACTAAGGAACCTGCTGAGTTGATGAATACTGATGTGGGACTCGCTGACGATGAGGACGATGACCTGCTGTCGCATCTGCCGTCTGAGTCATCGAATTCGTCTTTTCGGGGTGTAAATGAGACCGTTGCTATGTGGGAAAAAGAGCTGAGTGCATTTTTGAGTCTACCGGTTTCGGAGCGCAATGTGGATCCACTGGCATGGTGGAAACTGAACCAGCTTCGTTTTCCGCTAATTGCACCTTACGCTGAAATGGTGTTGTCGCTACCGGCAGTATCTTCAAGCGGTGAGACTGTTCGAAACAAAGTGCACAGTGTACTTTTGCGCACAGAGGGGCCTGGCCGCGAGGCTTCGCTGGCTGATAGCCCGGCCATGATAGACGCTTTTTTGTGCTTCCAAAAAAACAAAGAGTGCGCGATCGAGTGGCTTCTGTCAGGGTCCAGCGCTAATGGTATTGCCGAGGCAGCAGGAGTTAATGCCGACCCCGAACCGAGTTCTGGGAGTTTTAAGCACATTGAGAACGTATGATAGGAGCCGCCAAATTCTCAATATAGTCGACACCTGTATCGATCCGGCTTTGCATGGAGCAAGCATACGAAAAATGTGCTTTTCGAGCCGCGGTAGCTCAGAAATAACATCTATTCCACAACTCACGGAACAATTGTGACCGGCGAGATCTCCAGACGAGTGAGCGTGATTATGTGCTATTTTAACGGTACGGTCCGTTACGTTGTGTCTTCCTCAGTGGTGCTCGTTCCAAGCATCGAGCTCGGAGATACATCTTTCGTGCTCCACAGAGCTGCCACACGCAACACAAGATGTGGATATAAATTGCAGGGAGTTTCGCGTCATGCTGAGCCTTTTACATATCTCTTCGCCACTTCAAATTGCTGATTTGTCATGAGCGATTAGTCGTTGAAGTTTGTACTGCAGCTAGTGGCTCGCGTGGTTGTGACGCCGATGCGATAAGCTCCCCGTCATCTCCTCTGCGCAGAATGCTTGGATCGAGTATCGAGGCCAGTCGAACTTTTCTGCGCAGCACGCTACCATTGAAGTAGTGTTGGTGGTGGTTCAGATTGTCTATTTCCATGGTTGTGTGCAAGATCTCTGGTATGTCTTTAGCCATGCCGTAATCGCCGGTAGGTGACTCGGGGGCTGATCATGACTGGGGCCAGTAAATACTGGCACCCCTGTAGGTGCAACTCGATGCATGCATAAAGCACGGCACCCTGAGTTGCGGTCGCTACTTTCCGATGCTATCTCTTCGATATCACACGCAGGTGACAGGTGCAGGTGGCCCAATAACTTTGCGTGCTCCCACAGATATCAATGGTAGCCGCTCGGTAGACAGCATCATTTCTGTCCGTCCACAGCTTTGTTTGGCATGTCGTGGCAAGGATGTGCCAGATTCGCCTTTAGACCCGTTCGGCCTCTTCCACATCATCTTGAAACCGTTTCTTCAAGACCCCTGCCCGGTGCTTCGTTGCACCTTGTACTTGTCTGCTTGCGCATGCAACCAAGAACTGTACAGTGCACTGGTGGGATTCTCGTTCGCCTGTTCACTGCGTTACTAGTTTGGTCCACAAAGCGACGGCGCATGGACATGGCCAAAATATATGTTCCATGGTCTCATGGCCACCGCGGCAAGTTATTATCTTTCGACAGCCTTTGTCCTCGGACCTCCCAGCATGGTACAGATTGAACTGGCCCAACGCGACGCGATAACCCGTCCAAGCTTGATACTCGGAGAGTCCAGCATTGAAGTGGTGTTGTAATCGTCCGAATGGTCAAATATCCACCGAAAGGCGATGAAGCTGATGTTAAATCGACTACTGTCGAATCTGCGCCGGGCTGACGTAAGCCCAACTGTTTTCAGCTCGAATTCAATACGTACTGGTGAGTGCATTGATATCCTGAGATGGTAAATTACAGAGCGTGAGATCGAAAGAAGTCGGTCGCTATGTAGCAAGATTTGCTCGGCCAGTCGGATGAACACTTCGTTTATCAAGTAGAAGGTAGTTGAATACGTACCAACAGTCGACATTATCTCGTATACTTGCAGTTACAATAGCTAGGAACCAAACGCACTGATTTGTTCGTACATCCTCGTCCTAAAGTTGAGTCTCAGACAACGGCCGTGTCCTTCGTGTCGCGGACACAAAATCTTTTCCATGAGCATTTGTTACCTCTGCATGCCGCACAAATGCCCCAAGTGCCCCAAGATAACCTTCGTGCTTGCAGAAACGTGCTTCCATTGCTCCCTTTGACCAGAAATTGATTGCATACGCCAATGTTCTTGACGAAATCCGGTTGTGCCTCAGGAAATTACCAACGAAAAAGATATTTTTCGTCTTGTACAAAGTTGCGTTCAGGAAGGCGACCTGGCCGATATTCTGGGTGACCATAACCAACAAAGACCGGGCAAGGTCGGCATCACTCACACTTTCTCGGGAGGCTGAGATCATTTTGCCGAAACTGCTAGCAACCGTTGATGCTGGTAAGTTGAACTTGTCGTATGCTCCTCCGTAGATATCTCCGACACTCATATCGACCGACTGATTGGAGCCAGTGACACATAGATCTAGCGCTTCGTCATAGGACTCGCAGTGAGTCAGTAGACGACAAAGACCCCAATACGTGCCCCCGCCAATGCTGCTGCCACTAACACGTTCGTAGTCTTCCGGCCCTTTCACATACAGCACACTGACACCGGAACCAATACTGACGAGCTGTAGACAGCCGCCAAGAAGTTAGTCAAGTTTCCACTGACACTATGCATCCTGGCAATTTACAACACCAACCAAATATGGATACACGTTGTCGTCCGCATCCGGTGGGACTGTTTTCGCCCGCGAAGCCGCTAGAGAGTTGAAATCAACAACCTGCATAGTCCAGCAATTTGCATCTCAGCCTAGTTTTTACAGCGCTCGTAAGCCAGATCAATACCTCAAAAGTATACATTTCGTCCGGCAGTGTCGTGAGCAGGAGATGTAGGCCCAAAATGGTGCAATTGATCTCGTCGTATTTCTCCAGTTCAATCCCTGCCATTTCCTTGAACACAGGTCCGTACTACAGCAGAAAAAGCAGCAACCCATATGTGTCAGCCGGCACTACTGGTCATACTTCGAAGTGTAAAGAGCCCATCCAATAATTCAATTGTAAAAAAATCGACCTTATGAGCCCCGCCGCCCGTGCAAGGCAAAATCCTGAGCGACTGATTAATTCCATTGTTCACAATAAACTCGACCGCTTCTCGAGTCCTGCTGCTTTCAAACTGCATAAAGTGAAAAACCTACAGAACTTAATACACTTAGAAACGCATTTCGATCGAACCCCCCAATAATCAGTACAAATAAACTCGCACCCCGTTAAGGATCGTAGAGTACGCTTTTAGACGCACATCCTGCACTCCCGTGATGCCAAATGCCAGATGCTCACGCAAGAACTCATTCATTTCTCTTGCTGCCCCATCCAGTGAAGCCGAGCGCGACCGCTTCTCATCCCTCGCCTCGTGGTGCTCGAAATACACAATTTTGGCTAGCGTCCCCCCTACACAAGCCAAGTGGAACACAATACTCTCGTCAGCCAAGTGCCAAAAATTTATCACCAAAACTCATTTCCAAGAGCACACCAATGTCCAAGCCAAACGATGTCCCTAAGTCGGATCTGCAGTCAATAGAAACGAGGCAAGATAGAAAAGCAGTCAGATTGGCTACAAAAGTGGTGGAAAGTCATGGCTTTTCGTACGATTTTGACACCTTCTTGTGCGCCAATCGCCGGCGCCAGACCCGCTGGCGGTACAGTTTTCGTTCTAGGCAGATTGAAGCTACAATCGAAGCAAATAGAAGGAAGCTGGAGGTCAGTACCACGCGCTTGACGCCGCCACTATCAGCCATACTGGCTAAAGGTCAGATTGATGGACTGGACTGTTTTTTAGCGAATAGAAGCTTCTTCTTTTGCGGATGTCAGCGAATCAGAAAACGTTTGAATACTAGTTTTCAGCTTTTCGAGTATCTCTCCGCAACCTACTAGCGAAAAGGTCTCATTTGTTTAAGTAACCGAAAGTGAGTGTTTGAGGTCATCCATTTGAAAGAGGTTTAACGACCTGCTTCGTGTCGCGCTACAAATGAACGTAAGCAACAGCTGCAAGCTTCAACTTGATTGTACAACCATAGCTGGGAAATCCAGTTGCCGCGATCTACAGTTGCGATATAAATGCACTTGGCAGCTTTGCCCGAAGATTAGAGCACTCGAGCCATCCTCGTCCAATCTGTTAACATCGTGGTCTCCAACGTGTCAAAGCCTCAACATCGTCGCCGTCTTTCTCGCAGCGATCACTTGTAAAGAGCCATCATGTCTCTGATAACGATCTAGCACGTTTCACAAAGATGATAGCGTTACGCCCACTGACTTGCGATTCGTATACCACATCCGAACAGCGTGGAAACAACCTCAATCGTTCATCCGAGTTAGCAAAAACCAAGAGGAATCAGGACGCGTGGATGTGTCAAATCCTGTTCCACACATAAGTTCCACACTAAAACGCATTCGATCAGGAGGTGTGGCACGTGACTCGAAACACCACATCATCACCGACTGCTCCCTTTTCTTCCAGTAACGGTCGCCGAAAGAATCCATTATTTATTGTCTCTGATGGATAAACCGAAATAGTCGTCGCGTTGTGAGCAGCGACGTGATGGTCAGGGTATGACATGTATACAAAACTGCCGTAGGACTTGGTGCCGACCACAACTCGGTGTCATTTCGCTATTGACCCTCCAGTACACGAGTGCAATAGCAACCACCGAAAAAAGTGATGGCCAGCAGCAACGTTATCACTCTCAAGCAATCACCCCTCCCCCGTCGCGTCGTCCGTCGCCCCCTGCAATTCACTTCTCCTGCCAAAGAGCAGCAGTATCGCGCTGACATGGACCACGTGCAGCGGTACATTTGCGCCCACGTTGGGGGAATGGACGAAGCGTCGAGCCAACTGCTCGGCGTGCACGACACGCACTCGTGCAGCTACTACGAAGAGATCCAGGACTTTCTCGACCGCAAGCACGAGCTCGAGCAGAAGCAGCAGCGGCAGCAGCTGCAGACAGTGAACGCCCAGAGCTCCGAGCGCGTGCTCATTCGAGGCCTCGATGAGTTCCTGAACGAACTGGACCCGAGTTTGTTTGTCGAGTCCGAGTCGACAGGCCCCCCGCGCCTTGCAGTCGCGAACTTGCCGGTGCACAGTAGCTACATTCGTCGGAAACAAGAGGAAGCGATGCTGACTCGCTTGTGGAGCAAGTATAGTGCCGTGGAGACGGAGCGTTGCACGGTCGCTCCGATCTCGTGGGGCGGCCCGATCAAACGTCAGCGGGTCGTGTGAACACAGTAGACTATAGAGTATCTAACTAATTTATCCCGCTCGTGACAACCTCTTTCTTTCGTGGGACAAACGCTGGTACCAGACATTATAAACGGGAGTGCTGTAATTGCTCGGCGAAGTCGTGCCTTCAGGCGGCTCAATTCGTGGGATGTCACTATTCCCAAGGTGCAGTATTGGATGTCAAGCATGAAATACGCGTTCGTGCAGCCAGATGAATTACCTCCTGATAAATTGGCAGACTCCATTGATAGGATGCCGAGTCGGAGGGCTCGCATTGAAGCAAGTTGAAGCCAGTATCGCGTGACGACTCGTTGACTCTTTGTACACCGTTTCTGAGAGCGCAGCTACACCGACTAAAGTTCGGGTGCGACGATATCATGGCGATCGCATGTGCGAGTCGTGTGGAATTATTGAAGTTGCAGAGCGGCAGAGCGGGTATACAAACTCAAAGTGCGATCAGCATAGACACGCAAAGCTGTAGGGGATCACGCAATGGATTGAAGCCAATTGCTAGTATCCATTCTTTCTCACACGTACGATCGTTCTTAACCACCATCTGCGACGTCAACAACGTGGCGAAAGGCAGAATGGTCACGCGCGTGTATTTAATCCCACTCTTAATGAGAATATCTGCTCCGGGACATGAACATCGGGGGGAGAGTCGGGGAAAGCTGCTCTTCGAGAAGCAAGTCAAACCGCAGCGATCTCTCCACAATCCACACAGCCATAGCAGCAGAGGTTCGTGTTTCATACGTCTCTGGTGATTGCCAACCTTTTGTCATCCAGCGCGTGTCTGGGACGTGCACCTGGATGGGAACGCGGGATGGGGACGCGGGATGGGGACGCGGGATACTTTCGGGTTTGTCTGACCGTACTTGAGGAAACTCTGCCCCGCGCCCAAATCCCGTGCCCACTGATTTAAAGGATTAGGTCGATTGTAGAAATATTATTATTCGAACCATTCGGCGAAGGGTAAAGATCCCGAGTGATGAACATGATATCGGGTCTTCGCTCGAACAGCTCACAATGAAAACCCCTGTAGCAAACGATGGCAGTCTCCCAATGTATATCCACCAAGAAGACAAGTCAGGTATCATGGGAATGGCTTTCTCCGGCGTGTTTGAAGCGCCCCTTCGGCAAGAGAGAGATGAGTCCCCTCATGGTCGGTCTTGACACGCTGCCGGTTGACCACGATATCGTACAAGCTCAATCTGGGAGTAGTGGTCACGACTGTCCCGATTATTGGTACGTACAGAGATGTCTGTAGCTACATTGAGTAAAGGATAGAACTTCTTACCCTGGTACTTGTTACTACGTGCTGTGTATCTGATAGAGGGCAGCATTCCTACTGAATGTGTGGCCATGACGCGGTAGTAGAATTTAAAGTCGTGAAATTGGAGTAAAGAACATTAGCTCTAAGGCGCAAGACGTCGGTGGACAGGACAAGATCCATCCGCTCTGGCACCACTACTATAAGAACACACGGAGATCGATCTCTGTGGTCGACATAAACGATAGCGATCGTGTGGGTTCTGAACCAGGACGAGCTGCTCCGCATGGTGACCGAGTAAACACTGCACTGCATGCTGAACAAGTACAAGCTGCGGGACTCAGTGCTGCTGGTGTTTTCAAACAATCAGAATCCATCGAACGCCTTGAGCGTGGCTGAAATGGCGGAGAAGCTAGGTCTGCCAGCAGTGGTTATCCTTGTGAATCGTGCCACGATGGGTGTGAGGGTGTATGAAGGTCTAGATTGGCTCTTGTCTCTCTCCAGAAGAGACAGCTGTCAATTGCTCTATGGCGCTCTGAGGCGTTGCTGCCATGCCCTCTGGGGATGAAGATGTAGGCACTATTGGATTATTAATGGAGAAGACGGAAGGACCCAGTCATGTGATCGATCGTGTGTCCATTTCCGCGAAAGGTACTCGCTCATTTTTTGCTGGTGTCACGAATTACGTATGTTTCACCACTTTGGATGGATCGTGACTTGGAGTGAGATGTGGCAAAGGAGGAATATAAAGACGATGCTGTAGCACGGCGCAAGATTGGTCACTTTGCTGATCGACCCTCGTTTTTGTTTTGGATTGTATGATGACAAGTAGACACTTGACTGAAAGAATGTACTAAACGATATCTGATGCTATAATGCCAAAAAATTATGAAGGAAATTATCCAGTAAACTATCTAATGTTGTGTCGTGTATCAGGTCATAAATTTAGTAAAAACGCTGATCACATTCATAATCACTTATATCAGTGGGCACGGAGTTTAAGTACGGTGTAGATTTCTTGGGTACGGTCCAGACAAACCCGATACTTTCGTCGCCCGTAGACGACATCGTGTTCACGCGATATCGATAAATCTGCTCAAGCAAAAGGTTAGACGTGGCACTGTCACTTTCACGGTGATGACATAGGTAACGTGATGATGGATGTAGCTCGACCGATACAATAGTTCAGTATAAATGATGTTTTTGGTGCGCACATAACGCTTGCGAGTGTGGCTTGGCAAATTTGCGAGCACGGTGACTTTCCTGCGACATGACACAGTCTCGAGACATTTCTTGTCGCGCTGTCGTAGAGCGATACAAACACTAATGACTTCGAGCATTAGGATTGGTGACTTTTAGCACCATCGCGTTGTAGCTTTGTCACGAGCGACGCACAATCGAATCAAGCATTCCCTAGTGGAAGAGGCGTAGTTGAGGGTCGCGACGGGACCCGGTCTGTCCCAAATCGACGGGTTCAGAAAGGCGTTGCGGTCGTAGAACGATGAGACGTCGAGTACCTGCAGGAAAAGAAGTCTCTAGGAAGCGCGTGTCTCTCAGGAAAGCAGATCGTGCGTAGCTTGAAGAAACACTGTAACGATGCCAAATCACGCGGGAAACGACACAGATGCAGACCAAGCTTCGTTGTCGATATCTCTCTCTGGGGGTAGTGGCGATTTGGTGTACGCTTGGGACGTTGATCTTCGTCCGAGTCAACGGCAGCGTTCAGCTTTGAGGTCCTCGCTTGACGTACAGACTCAAGGGATCATTTGCCACGCACTCAAAGGGCCAACTCCAGCTTAAAGCACAACAGTGCACGGTCCAGCCGACCATGGGCACAGTTACGGTGCGAGTTGACCGAGTGGCTGGAAGTGCCGCTAAGTCGACTTTATGAGCAGCTCAACCTCTCTGATACGACCCGTGGGCATGGTCTAGGAACGGGCATACACCCTACTTTTTCACCCTTCCTTACTCACGAAGTAGGCTGCTCGTTATTCACCTACCTCTGCCTCAGTCGTACGAGCGCGTTCACTACAACGCGGGCATTGACTAAGAGTGGGCGACCACAGTCGTAGCTTTTGACTTGAATTCGCGCCTGAGAGGCTATGATGAGAGCACGCTAAGCCGAAGTATGTGTCGGTCGGTACCTTGCGAAAGGCCAAGTCATCTGCTCCAATCGACTCAAGAAAAGACTAGTTCAGCATATGTATCCAAGAAGGCGGGCCGTGAGTACTCAGACATACTGTCAACGCTCTGACAAAGTGTACTCGTGAAAAAAGGCGCAATCGAGATTCGCGTCGAGCTCGTGGACGGAGCCAGAACACGCTGTGGCATCTAATATCCGGTTGTCATGCACCTGATGCCACTTGCGACATTGGATGCTTTCCGCCTGTAGATGGTATACGGAGCCATACGTCAGACTGTGCACAGAGTACAAAGCAAGACCGCAAATGGAGCGTCGACATGTAAATGCAGAGCGTTCAACGTGGCCGCCCTCGCCGCACGACGTATGTCATTGCAGGACGCAGGACAAAACCCAGAGCGTGGCGACATGGATATCGCTGTTTGTCGAATGCTTGGTGCTTTGGTAGCGTACTCAGTGATTGTAGAGCCTCTCCACAAAGTAGTTGCCCCACTTGTCGCACGACTACACGTCGTCTAGGCAAGCAGAGAATGCATTTTGGAACGAACACCGCTCGCTACAGGAAAGGGAGGACGACTACGCTGCACTGGTCTGTCGCATTGGATAGGGACGATACCCCGTGACGTGCAAACCTCTTATGAACTTTTAACTTTCGATTCGGTGAAGTCAAGTGACTGAGCACAATGTGCAAGCTTGTGGACATTCGACAGCGCCTGCACTACTTTCCCACTAGCACCGCACACGATTTTGTTGTTGTCGAGACGCTGCAGCATGCAAGACCTCCGTTTCGAGCTGGTTGGGATGCACTTAGGTAGCAGTACCTTGACCCAACCGCCGTTCGATCGTGGCTCGATGGAGGTCTCGCACGCAAAATGCTTTTCACAAGAAGCCCGTTGATGACGCCTGCATGCATCCGGTTTCGCCCTGGCTACAGATACTCTTGACGTCTCGGTGTTCGAGATGTCGGGGCTTAGTCGTTGCAAAGCCACTGCTGTGGGGTCTTGGAGCAACTTCGTGTGTCTTTCATTTTTAATGCCATATTGTACACGGAGCGCAAAAAGCACACGAAGCCGGCGCTCTGGTCGTGCCGAACGTTGAGAGTGCGATAGAAACTCGAGCTCAGAGTAACGTCGTGCAGCTGACCACCCAATGAGGTCGACAAGCACATGGTGGCTACTTTCGACTATAGAGATAGTAGCCACTACGTCGGCCGATACGACCTCGTTGACCGCCACATACTGACCAAAGTCGTCAAACGCGTGGTTACCCTCACTCCGATAGCTGCTCGTGAAGAGTAGCAAACACATGTGAACTACTGCATTGCTTTGCCCACAACCAGGCAGTTCATTGTGATGGCCATGGCGATGACACGCACGATTCGTTCATCACAACAACAACAACAACAAGGCCGACAAAGTGACATAAATTTAATGGTCTAATTTGTTGCTCTGTAGTGCCTGACTGCATGCTTGCTGTTGGTCGTTGACACGTGCAACTACGGGAGTTCGTAGCAGCAAAGTACTCAAGGCAGTGGATGTCCCGGAGTCCACCATGTGCGAGTAGCCAATTTCATTGCATACCACACGCCCTCTTAGTCACGCTAAACACTGACGTGAGCTCTCTTGGCTGCAACTCGGAGCCAGTGTTTGTAACTGATTGCGTCCGTTTGTCTTACGTCGTCGATGCTGCTGCTCTTATGACTGCCACAACGACGGAGCAGGTGAATAGCAGCTAATAACATCACCGACACACCAAAGTGACGAGGGCGTTGCTTGTGCGTGTGAGAGAGACGAGTGTAAATGTTAATTAGCCACCACTTGCAGGCGTGAAGCAGATCATTGGCGAAACTCAAGAAGTCGTTACAGACAAAGAAGCATAGATGTAACGGGGTGAATCGTTACATAACAATTTATAAGAAATTGTTAATAGAATATAACTATAAGAGTTATATTCTCAGAATATTGTCATAAGGACAAATATTCTGTAGCACTTCCAAGTAGTTCCTAATTGGTTGATATAGGCCATTATATCAACCAACGAAGACGCGCCACGACAGACGCACGCAATGAGTGGTGAGCAGATAACTGATTTACACATTTGTATTTAGACATAGTTAGATGAAGATAAATAGTGATTTATTGCAGACATTAACTATTATAAATACAGTTCTACTTTTTACTCTAACCAAGTACTCGCTTCTTCTTACCGTCTTCCTCTGCACGTACGAGTGTACGTGAAGTTACGAGGCACCGCCTTATTCTGTTATCAGAATAAGTAGCTTGTACTGTCACCAGTACAAGCTTCAGGGTGCCCCGTTACACCTGGTAGCACTTCGTAGTCCGTCCAAGGACCGCGTTCACATCCAACATGAATATGTTGGATGATGAAGATGACCAAAGCTTTCACGCTACGCGTGACGGCTACTCCCATTTGAGCGATGTCGAATGGGATGCGGTTGAACGAATGGGTTCGACCATGGGCATCCATGCTGTTAGCGTCATGCTAGAGGCTCTCAATAGAGATGCCCAACATGCTACTATCGCCAAGTTCATTCAAAATGAACTTGACGCAGAACGCGAGAAAGTAGCCTTGCTTCACCAACAAGGTTCTCAACAAGCAGAGTTGTTGAGAGAACAAGGTGCTCAACAGTTTGAACTGTTGAGACAGCAGCAGGCTGCTGCTGGCGGGTCGATGCACTCGCGTCGGCCCGAAACCTTGAAGATTGACATCTCAAAGTATAGGGGGGTCGAAGAAGACTCCCTCTTGAGATGGTTCGTCGAATTGGATGACGCCATAAGGGTGCGTCGCATCGACGACGGGGATATGCAAGTTGCATTTGCCCAGTCAAATCTGGCAGGACGTGCCAAGACTTGGGCACTGGGGCTCAAGCTGCACGACCCATATGCGTTTGGGTCGTTGGAAGTCTTCAAGTCGCGGCTCAGACAAACGTTTGAACCGCCTAGAGCTGAGTTCAGAGCTCGAACCGAACTCTTGAAGCTCAAGCAGGGTAAGCGTGATGTGCACGCTTACGCTCAACATATACGACATCTCACGAGTTGTATAAGTTCCAACCTGGCTGATGAACACACGTTGGTTTCGGTGTTCATGCAAGGTCTTGCGGATGGTCCCGTCAAGACTCACCTGTTCCGGCTTGAACTAGATTCACTAGAACAAGCCATTTCAATTGCGGAACAGGAAGACTTCAGTCTGAGACAGGCTCGCGCCAGCTCGACATCATATCGTCAACCGAGACGATATGACAACGGAGGTCCAGAGCCGATGGAACTCTGTTATGTAGAGAGCGAGAAGGCTCGCTCTACAGGCTACAAGAAGTTGCAGAGATGCAACAGATGTCAAAAGACAGGACACTACGCTTACGAGTGTAGTGCCCCTCGTCCAGTGTCTCGCGACACTGGGCGTAGTGACCGTCCACCCATGAGAAAGGGGCAGGGACGAGGGTCCGCAGTTGGTGCAAAGACGCAACAACGGGATGGACCGTCAAAAAAACGGACAGGATCAGTAGGTGCGGAGCACCCTACTGATCCAGCAACGCCAAGAGAATTTGTAGGCCTTTTGATGAAGGTTGCTCCCAACACACAAACGTTCTGCGTTGCTGCTCTAGGTAATGAGATCTCACTCATTACTTTGAAACTCGAAGTGACAAATAAGTTGTCCCTTCGAGCTCTAGTCGATTGTGGGGCGTCCAACAATTTTGTGCGACGCCAATCGCTAGACGATGGTCACTTTAAATTCAGTGAATGTGACACACCTCCTACGAGGATGACGGTACGTCTTGCGACAGGCGCATCCGTAACCGTCATGAAGCGTATAGTGAAGATTCACTATACGCTAGAAGATACCCAATACGACGATGACTTTATCGTATTGGATTTGGATGACAAATTTGATGTCATCCTTGGAATACCGTGGCTCAGGAGGTACGAACCACGGGTAAACTGGCAACATCGGACAGTAACGATGCCTGCCGCTTGTTCATCAGATGGCCATCTGATGAACGTTTTGGAGCGTCCACAAGCGTGTGGATGTACTACGAGTGAGTGCGATGGCCTCACTTGTGGTACGGTCGTTAGTACGACTGCACAAAACCTTAGTGTACCAAACGGTTACACTTCGGACAAAGTTCCGGCGGCTGTGAGGAAACACAGGCTGCGCCGAAGGTCCACCACTCGAATAAGTCGGGTGGACTGGGACAAAGATGTATCCCTAGAGGGGAACATCTAGAAGAGAAACAATCGATCGCTCAGATTAAGCGAAACGATAATCCTAGATCGACTGGAGAGTCTTTCGTAGAGGATCTCGCTGTGGTTGCGCAACCCCAGCTAGAGGAAGTAAAGGGAATAAGTCCCAAGATTACAAATACGGCGGAAATAAGTTCCCCGAAACCCGCGGGAATAAGTCCCCAGGAAATGACAGAGACATTGAATGTCATAGTCAATAACGGATCATGTGTAGGCGCTTATACACTTGATCTGATTGCGCCTCCGAAGTTGACTTCGGAGATCACTCAGTTGCCAACGCTCGAACATAAAAGGTTCTTGCGTGATCTGCGTAGTGGCAAAGTCAAGCAGATCTGCATACTCGTCGCTGACGACGAGTGTGTAGCCGACATAAGGTCAGCAACAGTGTTTACTGAGAACGAGAGAGTTCTCAGTAGTTCATCTATGGACGAGAGTGTCCTAGATGAAAAGACACGAATTGAGCGATATGACTCCCAATCGTGGGAATCGCTCAAGAAAAAATCTCTCTATGAAGATTTGGTTGAATTCAAGGATGTATTTCCTGAAACTGTTCCGTGCGAATTACCGAAGGATGAAGGTGTTCGACACGAGGTCGAGCTTAAACCAGGCTCGAAGTACTGTGTCATGAAGCAGTGGCCACTGTCTCGTGAACGAGTACTTGCGATCGACAAGTTCTTTGCCGATCGTTTAGCTGCGGGTCATGTGAGGGAATCAACTTCCCCACATAGCTCTTCGACCTTCTGTGTGCGAAACGCAACAGGAGGGTGGCGGATAGTGCATGCATTTAACAAATTGAACGCTGCAACGGTACCGGCTCAGACGCCGATACCAAGGAAGGACGTAATCATTGATGGTATGTCAAAGAGTACCATCTTTTCGTCCATGGATTTGATGGATGGCTTCTATCAAATCCTAATGCGGGAACGGGATATACCCTATACCGCAGTTAGCACGCCTAGCGGCATGCTCTGGGAATGGCTAGTAATGCCACAAGGGCTCAGTAATGCCCCTGCCACGTTCAACAGGTGTGTATCACATCTGTTGAGACCAGTACGAGAATTCGCGCCGAGTTATTTCGATGACGTATTCATCCATAGTCGAGCTATGGATGGAAAGTCGGACGTTGAGGTTCACAAGTACCACGTCCGACAAGTTCTTACAATCATGCGAAAGCATCAATTGTATGCAAACCTCAAGAAGTGTATATTTGCAGCAAGCGAAATACCACTTCTTGGGTGCATCGTTGGTAAGAACGGTGTACGTCCTGATCCCGAAAAGATCAAGGCGATCACCGACTGGCCCGTGCCGGTCGATGTCAAAGGTCTTCGAAAATTCCTTGGGCTAGCGGCGTATTTGCATAAGTACTCACGCAATTACGCCGAGATGACTGCACACCTCTCTCGTTTGTTGAAAAAGAACGAGAGGTGGTTATGGAACGCTGAATGTCAACGCTCCTTTGAGGGTATCAAGCAGAGCTTGATACAATCCCCAGTCCTAGCAATAGCCGATCAGGACAGGCCATTTCATGTGGTCTGTGATGCCAGCGATTTCGCAATCGGCTGTGCATTAATGCAGTACGACCTTGAAGGCGTTGAACGCGTCGTCTGCTATCAGTCGCGTCAGCTGCAACCAGCTGAGCGGAACTATCCAGTGCATGACAAGGAACTCCTTTCCATGAAGTATGCACTCGCGAAGTTCAGAGTCTATCTATTAGGAGATAGACCCTTCATTGTTTACACTGACCATGCGTCATTACGCACGGCAGTGAACAGCCCGCACCTTTCACAACGAATGGCGCGGTGGTTGTCATTCTTTGCGGAATACAACTTTACGGTCGAGTACAAACCAGGACGACTTAATGTCGTCGCTGATGCACTCTCACGTCGTCCCGACTTTGAAACAGTCGCGAAACCCAACAGTGAGACAGTCACTGTTGCGGTTATGACGTCCTCAGTCCCATCTACAACGTTGTATGATGATGTGAGGCGGGCATACGCCCAAGATGGTGAGATTGTGAAGTTGTTGACACATCTCTCACAGCCATCTCGAGAATCGTTGAAACTATTATCGTCTGCGTATCGATCTGCATCAGATCGATACACTACTCGCGACGGTTTACTGTATTGTACAGCTGTTACTGGTGACACACCACGTGTTGTCATTCCAGATGATACTGATCTGCGTTTGCGGATCATGTTCGAGTATCACGATGCTCCTATAGGAGGCCATCATGGCCGTGAGAAGACATATCTCACGGTGAGTCGAGACTTTTACTGGCCCCGCCAGCATCAGTTTGTGCGAAAGTGTGTTCGCGCATGCGAAATCTGTCAACGAGTGAGGTCAAGTCCTTCATTGCGTGCACCTTTACAGCCTCTAACAGTTCTGGCGGAGTGCTGGGAATCCATCTCAATGGATTTCGTCTTCGGGTTACCCAAAGAAGCACGCGGGAATACGGGTATTCTCGTATTTGTTGACAGATTCAGCAAAATGGTACACCTTGTGGCTGTACCAGAGACAATCACGGCAAGTGGCTGTGCTTGTGTCTTTATTGATACCATCTTCCGACTTCATGGGTTGCCCCGTGAACTCGTATCAGACAGAGATCCACGATTCACTGATGATTTCTGGCGCTGCGTGTTCAAATCACTCGGAACGCGCTTGAAGATGTCGACATCTGATCATCCAGAGTCCAATTGTCAGACGGAACGAGCCAACCGTGTCCTTGAAGAGATACTTCGAGGATACGTACACTCCTTTAAGAGTTGGAGTGAGTTTTTGCCAATGGTAGAGTTTGCCATTGACAACTCGGTGCATGCGTCCACGACACATACACCGTTTTACGTGAATGGCTTGCGCCATCCGCGTGTACCCACCTTACTAGAGTGTAACTCTGGTTTAAGGGGGGAGGGACTCGCGCGAGCAAAAACCGATTTGGTTCACGCTCATCACGCTCTGACGAAGAGGTCATTGCGTTTGATGCCGATATCGATAACGTCGACATCGAAGAAGATGATGATTCCAGTGAGATTGCGGAAGCCCTCACTGAAGAAAGATTGGTGTTTCTGCAGTGCACTCACAGCGCACTGAAGCTAACGAGTCATCAGATGAGTTCATACTGGCTCGTGAAACGGTATTCCGTTTTGTGCAAGACTCCATCGCCGAAGCGGTGGATAAGCAAAAGCAAAACGCTGACAAGAATGGAAGGGCAAACACTCTTTTATTTAATAAAGGTGACTTAGCCTTACTGTCTACGGTTAATCTACCAAAGCATGTAGTGACTAACTTGGGTAGCAGTAACCTACTACCCAAGTACATCGGCCCATTTCGTGTATTGCACCGCCTAGGCAATGCATACACGATTGAGTTGCCACGTAAGATGCGAACGCATCCCACATTTTACGTTGGTCGGCTTAAGCCGTACCATCAGTACGCTGCTTCTTCCGATGAAGAACGCCCTTGCGCTCAAGCATCTCGCAGAGAGCCTTGTGCTCCCGATGGTGGGCATCAACAAGGGTCTGAAGAGCAGTTATCTCAGCCCGAGACCGATCAACAATCCCACGAGCTACCCTTAGCTCGTCACGCAGAGATGTCAGAGATCTCTCGTTCTCAAGCTGAGCAAAGGCAAACTCAGCTCGATGCTTCGAGGCAGTGTCCACCATCTGGAGACGCCTATTCCGCTCATGCTCGAGATCGTCGCGTAACCCTTGCGTTACGCGATCAAAGAAGCTCTCGGGAACACACCGATCCACATGATCGTGTGGAGAGCGTCTTTCCTCCTCCTCCACCTCCATTAGAGGACTCTCGCGGTGGCCAGCGCTATCTAGTAGAGCAGCTGTTGAACCACCGCGACGTGAACGGACGTCGGACGAGTTACCTCGTCCGGTGGCGCGGCTATCCCCCGTCCTGGGATTCTTGGGAGCCCCGCTCCCAATTGATGGTTGACGTACTGGGTCTGGTCGAGCAGTACGACGCGACACATCCTGTGCCGCAGAAGGACCGCCGGAGAAAGTCTTCCCGGCACGGTCGTAAAGGGATTTCAGGTTGTCAATCCCTTCGTACATCTCAGTAGAGACACGTACGCGCCACCACGGGCTGGTAAGGAGGTAAGCCTCCTTAGGTGCTCGTGCAGAGTTGTTCACACAACATGGGCACGAGTCTCCCCATGAGAGGCAGGGTAATCCTTTCTCCCTTGACAGACGATGCAGCTTGTAGCGTGCACCTGTCGGGGTTCTCTTTTCAAACTTATCACGAGCTTTGATAAGTTTGTCGTTCCAAACGTCACGACCTACACCCTCAAGGTTATGGATGTCAGCGTTCCACGCTTGAAGCAGTGAGGTACCATCACGTTTTTGATTCCCACTGTACCATCGATGATTAAAGAAAGCATCGATGAAGAACTCATTTTCAGCGCGATAGTTTTTCGCACTGGGGTCAAGGTGATGGTTCCTTGACGAATCGAACAATCGTGTTCGATAACGATCACTCGTCGTCGCCGACAAGTGATCCATAACAGATTTAGGAGGCATCCATGCCTTCTTCTCAGGAGCGAGACGCAACACATTGCGGTCCCGCTCTTCCTGCGACGTGCCTACAGAAGTACTGGCACCTCGCTGTGAAGTGGTGTCCATTGGAGAAACGACACCACTATTAGCGCCCGAGTCTCGCGACCTCGAGCGCCTTCGCTTCGGCGATGGTTCATCTGACTCATCAGATGAACCAAAGATGCTGCGACGCAAAGCATCGTCCATGCCACGCTTGGCAGGCGGCTTGGATTCAATTGCCGTCGATACGGATCCGTCATCCGTATCAGGAGAGTACGAGACACCGAGCTCGTACTCTGTGAAGACACGAGTGTCTTCATGACCAGCGCCTGCATCACCAGGTGATACAGGCTGAGTCGATTCAGCAACCGATGGGACATCAATTGCTGTAGTTTCTGCTTCGGCGTCCGCACAGAGACGTGCAGACGCGCTCTCGGCGGCCTTGCTCGCGCATCGCATGGGCTTGTTTACCATGCGATGAGATGTTGGAAAGTGGACGCGGACCAACAAGTGCAAACCCCGTCCCAAATGATTTGGGACGAGTATCCATTTAGTCAATCAGTCACTAAAGTGACTGATGGTTAAGGGGGGTGATGTAACGGGGTGAATCGTTACATAACAATTTATAAGAAATTGTTAATAGAATATAACTATAAGAGTTATATTCTCAGAATATTGTCATAAGGACAAATATTCTGTAGCACTTCCAAGTAGTTCCTATTGGTTGATATAGGCCATTATATCAACCAACGAAGACGCGCCACGACAGACGCACGCAATGAGTGGTGAGCAGATAACTGATTTACACATTTGTATTTAGACATAGTTAGATGAAGATAAATAGTGATTTATTGCAGACATTAACTATTATAAATACAGTTCTACTTTTTACTCTAACCAAGTACTCGCTTCTTCTTACCGTCTTCCTCTGCACGTACGAGTGTACGTGAAGTTACGAGGCACCGCCTTATTCTGTTATCAGAATAAGTAGCTTGTACTGTCACCAGTACAAGCTTCAGGGTGCCCCGTTACAATAGAGGCAAAAAAAAGGTTATGTATTGGAAGGGTACTAGTATCCTCTGACTTCCTGCATTCAACTATCAGTAAAAGAAGTTCCATGAAAACGCCTGTACTCTTCGAGCAACGCCTCCGCTTTATTTTGGTCATGTATGTAACTTGTAACACGCTTGAGTGCAAGTGCAAGGTCTTCAGGGTATACACTGCCAAAAAATTGAGGGGTATATCTCTCGTGTTCTTTGAAGACATCTTTCATCCCCACAATCCAATCGTCGAGCGTATTCGGGTTCCTGTCCCAGCCAAGAGTCTGCAACAGATCCATCGCAACATGTGTCTCATACTTTTGAAGCGTTTTCTGCGCACCCAAGTGTTCGTCGGGTATGCGAAAAGCACGGATTGCTGCTTTGAGCATCTCAGGTTCCATCTTGTCTTTAGCCCATTGCGCATAGCGTGCGTCTCTCTTATTTTCTTTCTTTGCGGCATGCCCATTCAGCCATTCGATGTTGTCGGCCGCCGTCGACTTCTTAGAAAGCTTAGCGAGGACAGCCATCTTGTTTATATGGTCCTCAGTCGCATATGGGTGAACTTTCCACAACTTCTTAACTGTACTCGCCAAATCCGAGGAGCCCCCCCTCTCCTCTTCGAGTTTGAGGTTCTTGTCGACAGCCCGCTCTGGCGCTCGCAAGGACCGAGCAACTTCACGTGTACGATCATCGAAAGTAGAGCGCAGACGAAGAGTCGCAGTCGCCGTCGCGAAGTCCGCATCGTCCAGGAGAAACAGCGCGAATGCCGCAGTGAGAATTAGCTTGCCCGGCGCGATCATCGCAGTGGTAGGGAAGTGGAGAGTGAGTGGAAGCGACTTGTGGAGTGAATGGAAGTGATGCTTTGGAAGCAAATTGTGGAATGAAAGGAAGCTCGACACGTCGGTCCACGTACTGGTCGTTGGTCTTTGGTGCTGGCCGTTTCGAGCCTGTTCAACATCTGCTGCTGAGGAAAAGACTTGACGCGTCTCTTGACCCACTTCAACCTGCCAGGAGGCCTTATTGCAACAACTCACCACGGCTCTATTCGGCCGATACATTACCTCAGTAAGACCTTCTTGCGACAGGGGGGGATCGAGCCAGACTTTGGCAGAGGATGGGAAATGGAAGCCAGACTGGTCGCCAGGTTCGTGACGTGTTGACCCTGTCATACGCACATTGTAAACAGCCTGAAAGCCGCTTCTTTGATGCGCAGAAAAGGACCGCATTTGGCTGTAGCAATGGAGAACAAGCCGGTTTGGATTTGAGCTCTGAATTCCCATTGTCACAGCAAAAAGATTCTTTCCCTTGCATGGTGTCCATTCTTCGGTCAGTGCTCATCTCTACGTTCCTGGGAAGAATCATCGTCTGGTATAGCACAAATGAACGGATAAATTTGATAGAGCTCGGCTTTGTTCTCCGTCGCCCTATTTTGTATGAGAAACTGGCCCACGACAGGAACGATGAGGCAGTTTGCCGGCATTCAAATTTCAAAAATCGAAATTTTTAAGGGAGCGTAGATAGGTGGATGGAAGGGCCAGATGTAACGGGGCACCCTGAAGCTTGTACTGGTGACAGTACAAGCTACTTATTCTGATGACAGAATAAGGCGGTGCCTCGTAACTTCACGTACACTCGTACGTGCAGAGGAAGACGGTAAGAAGAAGCGAGTACTTGGTTAGAGTAAAAAGTAGAACTGTATTTATAATAGTTAATGTCTGCAATAAATCACTATTTATCTTCATCTAACTATGTCTGAATACAAATGTGTAAATCAATTATCTGCTCACCACTCATTGCGTGCGTCTGTCGTGGCGCGTCTCTCCGTTGGTTGATATAATGGCCTATATCAACCAATTAGGAACTACTTGTAAGTGCAACAGAATATTTGTCCTTATGACAATATTCTGAGAATTTAACTCTTATAGTTATATTCTATTAACAATTTCTTATAAATTGTTATGTAACGATTCACCCCGTTACATCACCCCCTAACCATCAGTCACTTTAGTGACTGATTGACTAAATGGATACTCGTCCCAAATCATTTGGGACGGGGTTTGCACTTGTTGGTCCGCGTCCACTTTCCAACATCTCATCGCATGGTAAACAAGCCCATGCGATGCGCGAGCAAGGCCGCCGAGAGCGCGTCTGCACGTCTCTGTGCAGACGCCGAAGCAGAAACAACAGCAACTGATGTCTCATCGGTTGCTGAAGCGACCCAGCCTGTGTCACTTGGTGATGCAGGCGCTGGTCATGAAGACACTCGTGTCTTCACAGAGTACGAGCTCGGTGTATCGTACTCTCCTGATACGGATGACGGAACCGTATCGACGGCGATTGAATCTAAGCCGCCTGCCAAGCGTGGCATGGACGATGCTTTGCGTCGCAGCATCTTTGGTTCATCTGATGAATCAGATGAACCATCGCCGAAGCGAAGGCGCTCGAGGTCGCGAGACTCGGGCGCTCACAGTGGTGTCGGTTCTCCTATTGAAACCACTTCACAGCGAGGTGCCAGTACTTCTGTCGGTACGTCGCAGGAAGAGCGGGACCGCAATGTGTTGCGTCTCGCTCCTGAGAAGAAGGCATGGATGCCTCCTAAATCTGTCATGGATCACTTGTCGGCGACGACGAGTGATCGTTATCGAACACGATTGTTCGATTCGTCAAGGAACCATCACCTTGACCCCAGTGCGAAAAACTATCGCGCTGAAAATGAGTTCTTCATCGATGCTTTCTTTAAACATCGATGGTACAGTGGGAATCAAAAACGTGATGGTACCTCACTGCTTCAAGCGTGGAACGCTGACATCCATAACCTTGAGGGTGTAGGTCGTGACGTTTGGAACGACAAACTTATCAAAGCTCGTGATAAGTTTGAAAAGCGAACCCCGACAGGTGCACGCTACAAGCTGCATCGTCTGTCAAGGGAGAAAGGATTACCCTGCCTCTCATGGGGAGACTCGTGCCCATGTTGTGTGAACAACTCTGCACGAGCACCTAAGGAGGCTTACCTCCTTACCAGCCCGTGGTGGCGCGTACGTGTCTCTACTGAGATGTACGAAGGGATTGACAACCTGAAATCCCTTTACGACCGTGCCGGGAAGACTTTCTCCGGCGGTCCTTCTGCGGCACAGGATGTGCCGCGTCGTACTGCTCGACCAGACCCAGTACGTCAACCATCAATTGGGAGCGGGGCTCCCAAGAATCCCAGGACGGGGGATAGCCGCGCCACCGGACGAGGTAACTCGTCCGACGTCCGTTCACGTCGCGGTGGTTCAACAGCTGCTCTACTAGATAGCGCTGGCCACCGCGAGAGTCCTCTAATGGAGGTGGAGGAGGAGGAAAGACGCTCTCCACACGATCATGTGGATCGGTGTGTTCCCGAGAGCTTCTTTGATCGCGTAACGCAAGGGTTACGCGACGATCTCGAACATGAGCGGAATAGGCGTCTCCAAATGGTGGACACTGCCTCGAAGCATCGAGCTGAGTTTGCCTTTGCTCAGCTTGAGAACGAGAGATCTCTGACATCTCTTCGTGACGAGCTAAGGGTAGCTCGTGGGATTGCTGATCGGTCTCGGGATGAGATAGCTGCTCTTCAGACCCTTGTTGATGCCCACCATCGGGAGCACAAGGCTCTCTGCGAGATGCTTGAGCGCAAGGGCGTTCTTCATCGGAAGAAGCAGCGTACTGATGGTACGGCTTAAGCCGACCAACGTAAAACGTGGGATGCGTTCGCATCTTACATGGCAACTCAATCGTGTATGCATTGCCTAGGCGGTGCAATACACGAAATGGGCCGATGTACTTGGGTAGTAGGTTACTGCTACCCAAGTTAGTCACTACATGCTTTGGTAGATTAACCGTAGACAGTAAGGCTAAGTCACCTTTATTAAATAAAAGAGTGTTTGCCCTTCCATTCTTGTCAGCGTTTTGCTTTTGCTTATCCACCGCTTCGGCGATGGAGTCTTGCACAAAACGGAATACCGTTTCACGAGCCAGTATGAACTCATCTGATGACTCGTTAGCTTCAGTGCGCTGTGAGTGCACTGCAGAAACACCAATCTTTCTTCAGTGAGGGCTTCCGCAATCTCACTGGAATCATCATCTTCTTCGATGTCGATGTTATCGATATCGGCATCAAACGCAATGACCTCTTCGTCAGAGCGTGATGAGCGTGAACCAAATCGGTTTTTGCTCGCGCGAGTCCCTCCCCCTTAAACCAGAGTTACACTCTAGTAAGGTGGGTACACGCGGATGGCGCAAGCCATTCACGTAAAACGGTGTATGTGTCGTGGACGCATGCACCGAGTTGTCAATGGCAAACTCTACCATTGGCAAAAACTCACTCCAACTCTTAAAGGAGTGTACGTATCCTCGAAGTATCTCTTCAAGGACACGGTTGGCACGTTCCGTCTGACCATCTGACTCTGGATGATCAGATGTCGACATCTTCAAGCGCGTTCCGGAGTGATTTGAACACGGAGCGCCAGAAATCAGCAGTGAATCGTGGATCTCTGTCTGATACGAGTTCACGGGGCAACCCATGAAGTCGGAAGATGGTGTCAATAAAGACACAAGCACAGCCACTTGCCGCGATTGTCTCTGGTATAGCCACAAGGTGTACTATTTTGCTGAATCTGTCAACAAATACGAGAATACCCGTATTCCCGCGTGCGTCTTTGGGTAACCCGAAGACAAAATCCATTGAGATGGATTCCCAGCACTCCGCCAGAACTGTTAGAGGCTGTAAAGGTGCACGCAGTGAAGGGCTTGACTTCACTCGTTGACAGACTTCGCATGCGCGAACATACTTTCGCACAAACTGATACTGGCGGGGCCAGTAAAATTCTCGACTCACCGTGAGATATGTCTTCTCACGGCCACGATGTCCTCCTATAGGAGCATCGTGATACTCGAACATGATCCGCAAACGCAGATCAGTATCATCTGGAATGACAACACGTGGTGTGTCACCAGAAACGGCTGTATAATACAGTAAACCGTCGCGAGTAGTGTATCGATCTGATGCAGATCGATACGCAGACGATAATAGTTTCAACGATTCTCGAGATGGTTGGGAGAGATGTGTCAACAACTTCACAATCTCACCATCTTGGGCGTATGCCCGCCTCACATCATCATACAACGTTGTAGATGGGACTGAGGACGTCATAACCGCAACAGTGACTGTCTCACTGTTGGGTTTCGCGACTGTTTCAAAGTCGGGACGACGTGAGAGTGCATCAGCGACGACATTAAGTCGTCCTGGTTTGTACTCGACCGTAAAGTTGTATTCCGCAAAGAATGACAACCACCGCGCCATTCGTTGTGAAAGGTGCGGGCTGTTCACTGCCGTGCGTAATGACGCATGGTCAGTGTAAACAATGAAGGGTCTATCTCCTAATAGATAGACTCTGAACTTCGCGAGTGCATACTTCATGGAAAGGAGTTCCTTGTCATGCACTGGATAGTTCCGCTCAGCTGGTTGCAGCTGACGCGACTGATAGCAGACGACGCGTTCAACGCCTTCAAGATCGTACTGCATTAATGCACAGCCGATTGCGAAATCGCTGGCATCACAGACCACATGAAATGGCCTGTCCTGATCGACTATTGCTAGGACTGGGGATTGTATCAAGCTCTGCTTGATACCATCAAAGGAGCGCTGACATTCAGCGTTCCATAACCACCTCTCGTTCTTTTTCAACAAACGAGAGAGGTGCACAGTCATCTCGGCGTAATTGCGTGAATACTTATGCAAATACGCCGCTAGACCAAGGAATTTTCGAAGACCTTTGAAATCAACCGGCACATGCCAGTCGGTGATCGCCTTGATCTTTTCGGGATCAGGACGTACACCGTTCTTACCAACGATGCACCCAAGAAGTGGTATTTCGCTTGCTGCAAATATACACTTCTTGAGGTTTGCATACAATTGATGCTTTCGCATGATTGTAAGAACCTGTCGGACGTGGTATCTGTGAACCTCAACATCCGACTTTCCATCCATAGCTCGACTATGGATGAATACGTCATCGAAATAACTCGGCGCGAATTCTCGTACTGGTCTCAACAGATGTGATACACATCTGTTGAACGTGGCAGGGGCATTACTAAGCCCTTGTGGCATTACTAGCCATTACCAGAGCATGCCGCTAGGCGTGCTAACTGCGGTATAGGGTATATCTCGTTCCCGCATAAAGATCTGATAGAAGCCATCCATCAAATCCATGGACGAAAAGATGGTGCTCTTTGACATACCATCAATGATTACGTCCTTCCTTGGTATCGGCGTCTGAGCCGGTACCGTTGCAGCGTTCAATTTGTTAAATGCATGCACTATCCGCCACCCTCCTGTTGCTTTTCGCACACAGAAGGTCGAAGAGCTATGTGGGGAAGTTGATTCCCTCACATGACCCGCAGCTAAACGATCGGCAAAGAACTTGTCGATCGCAAGTACTCGTTCACGAGACAGTGGCCACTGCTTCATGACACAGTACTTCGAGCCTGGTTTAAGCTCGACCTCGTGTCGAATACCTTCATCCTTCGGTAATTCGCACGGAACAGTTTCAGGAAATACATCCTTGAATTCAACCAAATCTTCATAGAGAGATTTTTTCTTGAGCGATTCCCACGATTGGGAGTCATATCGCTCAATTCGTGTCTTTTCATCTAGGACACTCTCGTCCATAGATGAACTACTGAGAACTCTCTCGTTCTCAGTAAACACTGTTGCTGACCTTATGTCGGCTACACACTCGTCGTCAGCGACGAGTATGCAGATCTGCTTGACTTTGCCACTACGCAGATCACGCAAGAACCTTTTATGTTCGAGCGTTGGCAACTGAGTGATCTCCGAAGTCAACTTCGGAGGCGCAATCAGATCAAGTGTATAAGCGCCTACACTTGATCCGTTATTGACTATGACATTCAATGTCTCTGTCATTTCCTGGGGACTTATTCCCTCAGGCCTTGAAGGACTTATTCCTTCGGCTTCCCGGGGACTTATTCCCGCGGGTTTCGGGGAACTTGTTTTCCGCCGTATTTGTAATCTTGGGACTTATTCCCTTTACTTTCTCTAGCTGGGGTTGCGCAACCACAGCGAGATCCTCTACGAAAGACTCTCCAGTCGATCTAGGATTATCGTTTCGCTTAACCTGAGCGATCGATTGTTTCTCTTCTAGATGTTACCCGCTAGGGATACATCTTTGTCCCAGTCCACTCGACTTATTCGAGTGGTGGACCTTCGGCGCAGCCTGTGTTTCCTCACAGCCGCCGGAACTTTGCTCCGAAGTGTAACCGTTTGGTACACTAAGGTTTTGTGCAGTCGTACTAACGACCGTACCACAAGTGAGGCCATCGCACTCACTCGTAGTACATCCACACGCTTGTGGACGCTCCAAAACGTTCATCAGATGGCCATCTGATGAACAAGCGGCAGGCATCGTTACTGTTCGATGTTGCCAGTTTACCCGTGGTTCGTACCTTCTGAGCCACGGTATTCCAAGGATGACATCAAATTTGTCATCCAAATCCAATACGATAAAGTCATCGTCGTATTGGGTATCTTCTAGCGTATAGTGGATCTTCACTATACGCTTCATGACGGTTACGGATGCGCCTGTCGCAAGACGTACCGTCATCCTCGTAGGAGGTGTGTCACATTCACTGAATATAAAATGACCATCGTCTAGCTATTGGTGTAACGGGGTGAATCGTTACATAACAATTTTTAAGAAATTGTTAATAGAATATAACTATAAGAGTTAATTTCTCAGAAGATTGTCATAAGGACAAATATTCTGTAGCACTTACGAGTAGTTCCTAATTGGTTGATATAGGCCATTATATCAACCAACGAAGACGCGCCACGACAGACGCACGCAATGAGTGGTGAGCAGATAGTTGATTTACACACTTGTATTCAGACATGGTTAGATGAAGATAAATAGTGATTTATCAACAGACATTAACTATTATAAATACAGTTCTACTTTTTACTTTAACCAAGTACTCGCTTCTTCTTACCGTCTTCCTCTGCACGTACGAGTGTACGTGAAGTTACGAGGCACCGCCTTATTCTGGCATCAGAATAAGTAGCTTGTACTGTCACCAGTACAAGCTTCAGGGTGCCCCGTTACACCTGGTAGCACTTCGTAGTCCGTCCAAGGACCACGTTCACATCCAACATGAATATGTTGGATGATGAAGATGACCAAAGCTTCACGCTAGGCGTGACGGCTACTCCCATTTGAGCTATGTCGTATGGGATGCGGTTGAACGGATGGGTTCAACCATGGGCATCCATGCTGTTAGCGTCATGCTAGAGGCTCTCAATAGAGATGCCCAACATGCTACTTTCGCCAAGTTCATTCAAAATGAACTTGACGCTGAACGCGAGAAAGTAGCCTTGCTTCACCAACAAGGTTCTCAACAAGCAGAGTTGTTGAGAGAACAGGGTGCTCAACAGTTTGAACTGTTGAGACAGCAGCAGGCTGCTGCTGGTGGGTCGATGCATTCGCGTCGACCCGAAACCTTGAAGATTGACATCTCCAAGTATAGGGGGTCGAAGAAGACTCCCTCTTGAGAGTGGTTCGTCGAATTGGATGACGCCATAAGGGCGCGTCGCATCGACGACGGGGATATGCAAGCTGCATTTGCCCAGTCAAATCTGGCAGGACGTGCCAAGACTTGGGCACTGGGGCTCAAGTTGCACGACCCATATGCGTTTGGGTCGTTGGAAGTCTTCAAGTCGCGGCTCAGACAAACGTTTGAACCGCCTAGAGCTGAGTTCAGGGCTCGAACCGAAATCTTGAAGCTCAAACAGAGTAAGCGTGATGTTCACGCTTACGCCCAACAACTACGACATCTTACGAGTTGTACAAGTTCCAATCCGGTGGATGAACACACGTTGGTTTCGGTGTTCATGCAGGGTCTTGCGGATGGTCCCGTCAAGACTCACCTGTTCCGGCTTGAACTAGATTCACTAGAACAAGCCATTTCCATTGCGGAGCAGGAAGAATTCAGTCTGAGACAGGCTCGCGCCAGCTCGACATCATATCGTCAACCGAGACGATATGATAGCGGAGGTCCAGAGCCGATGGAACTCTGTTATGTAGAGAGCGAGAAGGCTCGCTCTACAGGCTACAAGAAGTTGCAGAGATGCAACAGATGTCAAAAGACAGGACACTACGCTTACGAGTGTAGTGCCCCTCGTCCAGTGTCTCGCGACACTGGGCGTAGTGACCGTCCACCCATGAGAAAGGGGCAGGGACGAGGGTCCGCAGTTGGTGCAAAGACGCAACAACGGGATGGACCGTCAAAAAACGGACAGGATCAGTAGGTGCGGAGCACCCTACTGATCCAGCAACGCCAAGAGAATTTGTAGGCCTTTTGATGAAGGTTGCTCCCAACACACAAACGTTCTGCGTTGCTGCTCTAGGTAATGAGATCTCACTCATTACTTTGAAACTCGAAGTGACAAATAAGTTGTCCCTTCGAGCTCTAGTCGATTGTGGGGCGTCCAACAATTTTGTGCGACGCCAATCGCTAGACGATGGTCACTTTAAATTCAGTGAATGTGACACACCTCCTACGAGGATGACGGTACGTCTTGCGACAGGCGCATCCGTAACCGTCATGAAGCGTATAGTGAAGATCCACTATACGCTAGAAGATACCTGCTATGACGATGACTTTATCGTATTGGATTTGGATGACAAATTTGATGTCATCCTTGGAATACCGTGGCTCAGAAGGTACGAACCACGGGTAAACTGGCAACATCGAACAGTAACGATGCCTGCCGCTTGTTCATCAGATGGCCATCTGATGAACGTTTTGGAGCGTCCACAAGCGTGTGGATGTACTACGAGTGAGTGCGATGGCCTCACTTGTGGTACGGTCGTTAGTACGACTGCACAAAACCTTAGTGTACCAAACGGTTACACTTCGGAGCAAAGTTCCGGCGGCTGTGAGGAAACACAGGCTGCGCCGAAGGTCCACCACTCGAATAAGTCGAGTGGACTGGGACAAAGATGTATCCCTAGCGGGTAACATCTAGAAGAGAAACAATCGATCGCTCAGGTTAAGCGAAACGATAATCCTAGATCGACTGGAGAGTCTTTCGTAGAGGATCTCGCTGTGGTTGCGCAACCCCAGCTAGAGAAAGTAAAGGGAATAAGTCCCAAGATTACAAATACGGCGGAAAACAAGTTCCCCGAAACCCGCGGGAATAAGTCCCCGGGAAGCCGAAGGAATAAGTCCTTCAAGGCCTGAGGGAATAAGTCCCCAGGAAATGACAGAGACATTGAATGTCATAGTCAATAACGGATCAAGTGTAGGCGCTTATACACTTGATCTGATTGCGCCTCCGAAGTTGACTTCGGAGATCACTCAGTTGCCAACGCTCGAACATAAAAGGTTCTTGCGTGATCTGCGTAGTGGCAAAGTCAAGCAGATCTGCATACTCGTCGCTGACGACGAGTGTGTAGCCGACATAAGGTCAGCAACAGTGTTTACTGAGAACGAGAGAGTTCTCAGTAGTTCATCTATGGACGAGAGTGTCCTAGATGAAAAGACACGAATTGAGCGATATGACTCCCAATCGTGGGAATCGCTCAAGAAAAATCCTCTCTATGAAGATTTGGTTGAATTCAAGGATGTATTTCCTGAAACTGTTCCGTGCGAATTACCGAAGGATGAAGGTATTCGACACGAGGTCGAGCTTAAACCAGGCTCGAAGTACTGTGTCATGAAGCAGTGGCCACTGTCTCGTGAACGAGTACTTGCGATCGACAAGTTCTTTGCCGATCGTTTAGCTGCGGGTCATGTGAGGGAATCAACTTCCCCACATAGCTCTTCGACCTTCTGTGTGCGAAACGCAACAAGAGGGTGGCGGATAGTGCATGCATTTAACAAATTGAACGCTGCAACGGTACCGGCTCAGACGCCGATACCAAGGAAGGACGTAATCATTGATGGTATGTCAAAGAGCACCATCTTTTCGTCCATGGATTTGATGGATGGCTTCTATCAAATCCTTATGCGGGAACGAGATATACCCTATACCGCAGTTAGCACGCCTAGCGGCATGCTCTGGGAATGGCTAGTAATGCCACAAGGGCTTAGTAATGCCCCTGCCACGTTCAACAGATGTGTATCACATCTGTTGAGACCAGTACGAGAATTCGCGCCGAGTTATTTTGATGACGTATTCATCCATAGTCGAGCTATGGATGGAAAGTCGGATGTTGAGGTTCACAGATACCACGTCCGACAGGTTCTTACAATCATGCGAAAGCATCAATTGTATGCAAACCTCAAGAAGTGTATATTTGCAGCAAGCGAAATACCACTTCTTGGGTGCATCGTTGGTAAGAACGGTGTACGTCCTGATCCCGAAAAGATCAAGGCGATCACCGACTGGCCTGTGCCGGTTGATTTCAAAGGTCTTCAAAAATTCCTTGGTCTAGCGGCGTATTTGCATAAGTATTCACGCAATTACGCCGAGATGACTGTGCACCTCTCTCGTTTGTTGAAAAAGAACGAGAGGTGGTTATGGAGCGCTGAATGTCAGCGCTCCTTTGATGGTATCAAGCAGAGCTTGATACAATCCCCAGTCCTAGCAATAGCCGATCAGGACAGGCCATTTCATGTGGTCTGTGATGCCAGCGATTTCGCAATCGGCTGTGCATTAATGCAGTACGATCTTGAAGGCGTTGAACGCGTCGTCTGCTATCAGTCGCGTCAGCTGCAACCAGCTGAGCGGAACTATCCAGTGCATGACAAGGAACTCCTTTCCATGAAGTATGCACTCGCGAAGTTCAGAGTCTATCTATTAGGAGATAGACCCTTCATTGTTTACACTGACCATGCGTCATTACGCACGGCAGTGAACAGCCCGCACCTTTCACAACGAATGGCGCGGTGGTTGTCATTCTTTGCGGAATACAACTTTACGGTCGAGTACAAACCAGGACGACTTAATGTCGTCGCTGATGCACTCTCACGTCGTCCCGACTTTGAAACAGTCGCGAAACCCAACAGTGAGACAGTCACTGTTGCGGTTATGACGTCCTCAGTCCCATCTACAACGTTGTATGATGATGTGAGGCGGGCATACGCCCAAGATGGTGAGATTGTGAAGTTGTTGACACATCTCTCCCAACCATCTCGAGAATCGTTGAAACTATTATCGTCTGCGTATCGATCTGCATCAGATCGATACACTACTCGCGACGGTTTACTGTATTGTACAGCTGTTACTGGTGACACACCACGTGTTGTCATTCCAGATGATACTGATCTGCGTTTGCGGATCATGTTCGAGTATCACGATGCTCCTATAGGAGGACATCGTGGCCGAGAGAAAACATATCTCACGGTGAGTCGAGAATTTTACTGGCCCCGCCAGTATCAGTTTGTGCGAAAGTATGTTCGCGCATGCGAAGTCTGTCAACGAGTGAAGTCAAGCCCTTCACTGCGTGCACCTTTACAGCCTCTAACAGTTCTGGCGGAGTGCTGGGAATCCATCTCAATGGATTTTGTCTTCGGGTTACCCAAAGACGCACGCGGGAATACGGGTATTCTCGTATTTGTTGACAGATTCAGCAAAATAGTACACCTTGTGGCTATACCAGAGACAATCGCGGCAAGTGGCTGTGCTTGTGTCTTTATTGACACCATCTTCCGACTTCATGGGTTGCCCCGTGAACTCGTATCAGACAGAGATCCACGATTCACTGCTGATTTCTGGCGTTCCGTGTTCAAATCACTCGGAACGCGCTTGAAGATGTCGACATCTGATCATCCAGAGTCAGATGGTCAGACGGAACATGCCAACCGTGTCCTTGAAGAGATACTTCGAGGATACGTACACTCCTTTAGGCGTTGGAGTGAGTTTTTGCCAATGGTAGAGTTTGCCATCAACAACTCGGTGCATGCGTCCACGACACATACACCGTTTTACGTGAATGGCTTGCGCCATCCGCGTGTACCCACCTTACTAGAGTGTAACTCTGGTTTAAGGGGGGGAGGGACTCGCGCGAGCAAAAACCGATTTGGTTCACGCTCATCACGCTCTGACGAAGAGGTCATTGCGTTTGATGCCGATATCGATAACATCGACATCGAAGAAGATGATGATTCCAGTGAGATTGCGGAAGCCCTCACTGAAGAAAGATTGGTGTTTCTGCAGTGCACTCACAGCGCACTGAAGCTAACGAGTCATCAGATGAGTTCATACTGGCTCGTGAAACGGTAGTCCGTTTTGTGCAAGACTCCATCGCCGAAGCGGTGGATAAGCAAAAGCAAAACGCTGACTAGAATGGAAGGGCAAACACTCTTTTATTTAATAAAGGTGACTTAGCCTTACTGTCTACGGTTAATCTACCAAAGCATGTAGTGACTAACTTGGGTAGCAGTAACCTACTACCCAAGTACATCGGCCCATTTCGTGTATTGCACCGCCTAGGCAATGCATACACGATTGAGTTGCCACGTAAGATGCGAACGTATCCCACGTTTTACGTTGGTCGGCTTAAGCCGTACCATCAGTACGCTGCTTCTTCCGATGAAGAACGCCCTTGCGCTCAAGCATCTCGCAGAGAGCCTTGTGCTCCCGATGGTGGGCATCGACAAGGGTCTGAAGAGCAGCTATCTCATCCCGAGACCGATCAACAATCCCCACGAGCTACCCTTAGCTCGTCACGCAGAGACGTCAGAGATCTCTCGTTCTCAAGCTGAGCAAAGGCAAACTCAGCTCGATGCTTCGAGACAGTGTCCACCATTTGGAGACGCCTGTCCCGCTCATGTTCGAGATCGCCGCGTAACCCTTGCGTTACGCGATCAAATAAGCTCTCGGGAACACACGGATCCCCAAGATTGTGCGGAGAGCGTTTTACCTCCTCCTCCACCTCTATTAGAGGACTCTCGCGGTGGCCAGCTCTATCTGGTTGAGCAGCTGTTGAACCACCGCGACGTGAACGGACGTCGGACGAGTTACCTCTTCCGGTGGCGCGGTTATCCCCCGCCCTGGGATACTTGGGAGCCCCGCTCCCAACTGATGGTTGACGTACTTGGTCTGGTCGAGCAGTACGGCGCGGCACATCCTGTGCCGCAGAAGGACCGCCGGAGAAAGTCTTCCCGGCACGGTCGTAAAGGGATTTCAGGTTGTCAATCCCTTCGTACATCTCAGTAGAGATACGTACGCGCCACCACGGGCTATTAGGGAGGTAAGCCTCCTTAGGTGCTCGTGCAGAGTTGTTCACACAACATGGGCACGAGTCTCCCCATGAGAGGCAGGGTAATCCTTTCTCCCTTGACAGACGATGCAGCTTGTAG